TAGTGACAGAAAAGAAATCAGTTGTTGCCTGGGGCTGGGGGTAGGGGTGGAATGGACTGAGATGGGACTCAGTGGAACTTTCTGGAGGTGATATATATGTTCAATATCTTAATTACACTGGTGATTTTATAATTTGGCAACACCCATCAAAATGTACAATTAAAGAGGATGAATTTTATTCTACGTACTCATACCTCAATAAAGTTGATTTTTTAAAAGCACAGTAGGCCTGGGCACCAGTGGCTTATACCTGTAATTATAGCACTTTGGGAGGCTGAGGTGGAAGGTTCACTTGAGCCCAGGAGTTCAAGATCAAACTGGGCAACATAGCAAAACCTTGTCTCTACAGATAATTAAAAAATTAGTTGGGTGCGGTGGCACATGTCTGTGGTTCCAGCTACTCAGGAAGCTCAGGTAGGAGAATTGCTTGGGCCCAGGCGTGGAGGCTGCAGTGAGCTGTGATCAAGCCACTGCACTACAGCCTGGGGGACAGAGCAAGCCCCTGTCTCAACAACAACAAAAGCACAATAAGATACCACTACATTCTTCCAAAGTATAAACTAGTATGAGGAAAAAACAAAAGAAATACCAGTACATTCTCACCAGAAAAACTAAAATAAAATTTACCAAGTATTGACAAGGATGCAGAGCAACTGGAACGCTACTAACTTGCAGGAGGCAATGTAAATGTCACGGGAAAACTCTTAGAAAGTTACTCTTTGACTGTTGTCAAAAGACAAAATTGCAACTTAAAGATCTTAATTGGCTTTATTTTTATTTTATTTTATTATTATTTTTTGAGTTGGAGTCTCCCTCTGTCACCCAGGCTGGAGTGCAGTGGCATGATCTCTGCTCACTGCAATGTCCACCTCCTGGGTTCAAGTGATTCTCCTGCCTCAGCCTCCTGAATAGCTGGGATTACAGGCATTCACCACCACGCCTGGCTAATTTTTTTTTTTTTTTTTTTTTGAGACGAAGTCTCGCTCTTGTTCCCAGGCTGGAGTGCAATGGCGTGATCTCAGCTTACTGCAACCTCCGCCTCCCAGGTTCAAGCCATGTTCCTGCCTTGGTCCCACAAGTATCTGGGATTACAGGCACCTGCCACCACACCCTGCTAATATTTGTATTTTCAGTAGAGACGGGTTTTCACCATGTTGGGCAGGCTGGTCTAGAACTCCTGACCTCAGGTGATCCAACCGCCTTGGCCTCCCAAAGTGCTGGGATTACAGGAGTGAGCCACCGCGCCCGGCCTAATTTTGTATTTTTAGTAGAGATGGGGTTTCTCTATGTTGGTCAGGCTGGTCTTGAACTCCCGACCTCAGGTGATCCGTCCGCAACGGCCTCCCTAAGTGCTGCGATTAGGGGCATGAGCCATTGCGCTTATAGACAGATAAGGGCTGAAGAAAGCACAAACAACACAGAGTAGACTGGTCAGTTCTTTTCTTTTCTTTTTTTTTTTTTTTTTTTGAGACGGAGTCTTGCTCTGTCGCCCAGGCTGGAGGGCAGTGGCGTGATCTCGGCTCGCTGCAAGCTCCGCTTCCCGGGTTCACGCCATTTTCCTGCCTCAGCCCCCTGAGTAGCAGGGACTACAGGTGCCCGCCACCACGCCCGGCGGTTTTTTTTTTTTTTTTTTTTTTTTTAGTAGAGATGGTGTTTCACCGTGTTAGCCAGGATGGTCTGGATTTCCGGACCTCATGATCCGCCCCCCTCGGCATCCCAAAGTGCTGGGATTACAGGCGTGAGACTGGGCCCGGCCGCATTGGTCATTTCAAAGTAACTTTCCTTGTAGGGCGGGAACAAGGAAACAGAACAATAGAAAAACAACGGATTGGGCCAGGCGCAGTGGTTCATGCCTGTAATCCTACCACTTTGGGAGGCTGAGGTGGGCGAATCACCTGAGGTCAGGAGTTCGAGACCAGCCTGGTGAACATGGCGAAACCCCATCTCTACTAAAAATACAAAAAAATTAGCCGGGTGTGTTGGCACACGCCTGTAATCCCAGCTACTCTGGAAACTGAGGCAGGAAAATTGCTTGAACCTGGGAGGTGGAGGTTACAGTGAGCCGAGATGGCACCACTACACCACTGCACTCCAGCCTGGGCGACAGAACGGCGGGAACTCGTCTCAAAAAAAAAAAAAAAAAAAGAAGAAGAATAACATTGATTAACATCAGGTTACTTTTGCTGTAAGGATTACGGGCAGAGGAAAGTTCATTGTCATGCTTATTGAAAGTGGCCTGTTGGGGAAATATCTGTTCTCTCTCCAGATTTCTCTGACGGTCAGATAATTAAGTTTCAGTTTGGTAAAATGTAACTTTAGCAGGAATTACTCCATTTTGGTTCTTAGCCTTGTTTGTTAGGATCTAGTGCAGGTGCTTTGTCAAAAATAATGGCCTTCTATAATTTTTTAAAATTTCTTTTCTTTTTGAGACAGAGTCTCAAGAGTCTCACTCTGTCACCTACATTGGAGTACAGTTTCGTGATCACAGCTCACTGCAGCCTCAACCTCTCTGGCTCAAGGGATCCTCTCCCACCTCAGCCTCCCAAGTAGCCTCTCAATGTGTGCCACCACACCTCGTTGATTTGCTTGTAGAGACGGGGGTCTCGCCATGTTGCCCAGGCTCATCTGGAAGTCCTGGGCTCAGGTAATCAGTTTACCTTGGCCTTCCAAAGTGCTGGGATTACAGGCATTAGCCACCATGCCCGGCCTGTAATTTTTCTTTAACACCATATAATCCAGTCATTTCATTCCTAGGTGTTTAAGATAAATGTGTATATAGATTTGTCAGAAAATATCTACTAGGCCAGGAGTAGTGGCTCAAACCTGTAATCCCAGCATTTTGGGAGGCAGAGGCGGGAGGATTGCCTGAGCGCAGGAGTTTGTCACCTGGGCAACATGGTGAGTCTCGGTCTCTACAAAAAAATTTAAAAAGTAGCTGGGTGTGGTGGCACATGCCTGTAGTCACAGTTACTTGGGAGGCTGAGGCAGGAGGATTGCTTGAGGCCAGTAGTTGGAGGCTGCAGTGAGCCATGATCATGCCACTGTACTCCAGCTTAGGCAATAGGGTGAAACCCTGTTTCTAAAAAAAAAAAAAAAAATTAAATTAAAAACCAATCTACTGTATTAAAACTTTAGAAGCCAGGATAGTGATTATCTGGGGGTAGGGAGGGTAGGGTGGTGGGTGGTTGTTGGTGAGTGGGTAGATAGTGACTGAAAGTGGTCAGGAGAGGGCTTCCGGGGTGCTGGTGTGTATCATACTATATGTATATCATACTTCTATTAAAAGTTTACCAAAAACGAATTACTTTCGTTACATTTGTGAGACAATCTGAGAAAATGAAACCCAGACTGGGTATTAGACCACATTAAGGAATATTGTGAATTTTCTTAGGTATGTTAATAGCCTTGTATTTTTTATGTATTTTTTTGAAGCACTAATCTGTTGTGATTAATGCTTAAGTATTCACAGATGAAATAATGTGATGTCTGGAATTTGCTTTAAAATAATTTCCTGGATGGGAAGGGATTGCTTAAACAGGATAAATAAGCAGATGTTTATTATTGTTCAAAACCAGTACATGAGGGTTCATTATACTATTGTCTCCACTTTTGCGAATGTCTGAAATATTCTAATAATAATAATAATAATGAGAGGCTTTTCTTTTTTTTTTTTTTTTGAGACGGAGTCTCGCTCTGTCGCCCAGGCTGGAGTGCAGTGGCCGGATCTCAGCTCACTGCAAGCTCCGCCTCCTGGGTTTACACCATTCTCCTGCCTCAGCCTCCCGAGTAGCTGGGACTACAGGCGCCCGCCACCTCGCCCGGCTAGTTTTTTGTATTTTTTAGTAGAGACGGGGTTTCACCGTGTTAGCCAGGATGGTCTCGATCTCCTGACCTCGTGATCCGCCCGTCTCGGCCTCCCAAAGTGCTGGGATTACAGGCTTGAGCCACCGCGCCCGGCCTGAGAGGCTTTTCATCACAGAATTTCAAGGCAGTCGCTTCACCCCTGATTCCCAGTTTCTACCTCAATAAAATAGGGCTGATGTTGTGAGCAGCAGGGGGAGAAAAGAGTTTTATGAAATGTTGTGTTTTTGGTTTTGTCTTTGAGACGGAGTCTCTCTCTGTCACCCAGGCTCTAGTGCAGTGGCGCGATCTCGGCTCACTGCAGCCTCCACCTCCAGGGTTCAAGCGATTCTCCTGCCTCAGCCTCCTGAGTAGCTGGGATTAGAGGCGCAGGCCACCATGCCCGGCTACTTTTTGTATTTTTAGTAGAGACGGGATTTCACTATGTTGACCAGACTGGTCTCGAATGCCTGACCTCGTAATCTGCCTGCCTCGGCCTACCAAAGTGCTGGGATTACAGGCGTGAGACACTTCGGCCTGCTGAAATGTTGTTTTAATATTGTAACCACTGCCATTATGGTTTCTAGTACTGATTTGTTGCCTCCAAGTGTTTCCTCCTCCTCTCCCTGTATTTTTTTTTTTCTTAAGACAGAGTATTGCTCTGTCACCCAAGCTGGAGTGCAGTGGCTCGATTTTGGCTCACTGCAACCTCCACCTCATGGGTTCAAGCGATTCTCCTGCCTCAGCCTCCCAAGTAGTTGGGATTACAGGTGGGTGTCACCATGCCCGGCTAATTTTTTTATTTTTAGTAGAGATGGGGTTTCACCATGTTGGCCAGCCTGGTCTCGAACTCCTGGCCTTAAGTGATCCGACTGCCTCAGCCTCCCAAAGTGCTGGGATGACAGGTGTGAGCCACCACGCTCGGCTTCCCTGTAATTATTCATTCCGCTTTTCCTCTGGTTCTTTTCAATGGTTCCTTCCTGCTACCCCCATCCCCCGGCAGCCCAATGGTTGAGTCCGGTTTCCCCAGGGGAAACCCCTTGGGGCGGATCACGCGGCGTCTGCGAGTGGCCTCCCTGGAGGCTACAAGGATCGCTCCGCGCCGGGGGTGGGCCAGTAATCGTAGGCGGGGCGCGGGTCCCGAGCTCCGATTGGCCAGGGCCGGAGTAAACATCCGGCGGGACGGGGCGGGGCCGGAAGTGGAGTTAGAAGGCGGTGGCTGAGGCGGTTCCGGAGGTTCTGGTGTCGGAGTTGGGGCAGGCAGGTGCTATGGGCCGGCTTGAGGCACACTGAGGGGACGCGGGGCTGGGCCATGGCCGGCGCTCGGGCCGCCGCCGCCACCGCCTCGGCGGGGTCCTCGGCCTCTTCGGGCAACCCGCCGCCACAGGAGCCGGGGCTTGGGGAGCTGCTGGAGGAGTTCTCCCGGACTCAGTACCGGGCCAAGGACGGCAGCGGGACCGGCGGCTCTAAGGTGAGACTGGAGGCGCGATGAGCTGGGGAAGGCCCCTAACTTGGGGAGTTACAGAGGAAAGGCTGAGACCAGGGGTGAGAGAAAGGTAGGAGTGGTACCTCGCCGCTGAGGAAGAGGAGAGAGAGTTCTCCAGGGTCTGGAACCAGAGTGTAAGAGTCGGACTTGACAACCATAAAAGGAGGAACTGGGGTCAAAATGAGCCCAGCAAAGAGGTCCTTTTTGTTTGAGAAGGGGTCTGAAGGTGAGAGATGAAGCTGAGGGGCCAGGTTCAAAGATCAGAGAGGAGGACCTAAGGAAGGCCTATTCCCTGCTTCAGGTGCCGTAGGATGAATTGTGTCAGGGAAAAAGCCCTCGAATCTAAGAAAAATAGGGAGACGATTCCTCAGGGTCAGAGGTCAGAATGGAGCCAGGAGGTGAACCCAGTGTGTTGCCCCCTTATAAGGTCTCAGCATAACTTAGGCCCATCCCTTTTCTTCCCTTATACAGCAAGAAGACAACCCACACTCCCACTCAGTTCCTTCATCAAAAGCAGGTCTCAGTTCCTCTTTTTCCTCCCTTTGGGATTTCCACCCAGTCGTCTTATCGCCAGACCTGGAGGGCTTCCTGTTAGCTCAGGCCATCCCCACCCTAAGCACTGGCTGGCAGTGCGGTGGGAATCTTGCTGACCCTGCCATCTCGTTCCCCCACGTGGTTTTGGCCGCTTTAGCACCAAGTTTTCCAGTGGAACTGTGTTCCATCCTGCACCACAGAACTCTGATTTGGCCCCAGAGGTTACCCTGAGTTGCGATTCTGTAGTTGGCATCTGGTAGTCTCTGAAATAACCCAGGGAAGACTTCAGTAAGGATTGGACTTGCTCACTCTCCAAATGGCCAAGTAATTTTTCCAAGTGTAGTCTGGGGACCACCTGTTTCATTATCATCTGGGGTACTTTTAAAATTTGTGCTTGTGGGGTACTTTGTGAAAATAGAGATTCCTTAGTCCCACCCAGTCCTACCAAGTCAGAATTAGCATCCTCCGCCTCCCCAGTTCAAGCAATTCTCCCTGCCTCAACTTCCCAAGTAGCTGGGATTACAGGACCCCACCACCACGCCCAGCTGATTATTGTAGTTTTTAGTAGAGATGGAGTTTCCCCATGTTGGCCGGGCTGGTCTTGAACTCCTGAGCTCAGGTGATCCGCCTACCTCAGCCTCCCAAAGTGCTGGGATTACAGGCGTGAGCCACCGCACCTGGCCTTTTTTTTTTTTTTTTTTGAGACAGGGTCTCGCTCTGCTGCCCAGGCTGGATTGCGGTGGTGCAATCATGGCTCACTGCAGCCTCGAACTGCTGGGCTCGAGTGATCCTCCCACTTAAGCCTGCCAAGTACCCGATACCACAGGTACACACCACCATGCCTGGCCAATTTTTTTTTTTTTTAAATTTTCGTGGAGACATGGTCTCACTATATTGCCCTGGCTGGTTTCAAACTCCTAAACTCAAGCAATTCTCCCACCTCGGCTCCCCAAAGTGCTGGGATTACAGGCCTGAGCTGCCACACCTGGCCAGTGAGGGTCTTTTGGTTTTTCTGGTGATTGGTTTTTTGGACCCCTCTTTCAATTTACATGACCTTGAAGATTAGGGTTGTCATAAGTTACACCTGATAGTGGCTGAAGCTGGCCTTAATTATCTCTCCAGGCCTTCTGATCTCCTGCAGACTTAGATGTATATGTATTTATATGTATTTATAACTGTTCAGGTAGAACAGGGAGTTAGATCTGTAACTGAACAATCGATTGAGGTAACTCACTACCCCTTTGGACTAATCTCTTGCAAACTTCTTCTTTTTTTTTTTTCCCCCAGACGGAGTCTCTCTCTGTCACCCAGGCTGGAGTCCAGTGGTGCGATCTTGGCTTACTACAACTTCCACCTCCTGGATTCAAGCTATCCTCCTGCTTCAGCCTCCCTAGTAGCTGGGACTACAAGCATGCGCCACCACGCCTAGCTAATTTTTTATATATATATTTTTGAGACGGCATCTCCCTCTGTCACCCAGGCTGGAGTGCAATGGCATGATCTTGGCTCACTACAACCTCTGCCTCCCGGGTTCAAGTGATTCTCCTGCTTTAGCCTCCCAAGTAGCTGGGACTACAGGTGCCCGCCACCATGCCCAGCTAATTTTTATGTTTTTAATAGAGGCAGGGTTTCACCATGTTGGCCAGGATGGTCTCGATCTCTTTCTTGACCTCGTGATCCGCCCGCCTCAGCCTCCCAAAGTGCTGGGATTACAGGCATGAGCCACCGCGCCTGGCCGGTGTTACAGTTCTTATGTCTTTTTTCCTGTTGTGTTTTTCTCTGAACTGTGAACAAAACAAGTAATTGTAGGGGGAGCTCTTCTATTTCACAAGCGAGTTGTATATAAGGAAACTTTACAGCTTTTACTGATTGTATGGAATAGAGCTTGTAGGTACTAGTCTATAGCTAAAGAATGGGGAAGAGGGCCAGTACAGTGGCTCACGCCTATAATCCTAGCACTTTGGTAGGCCGAGGCAGGTAGATTGCTTCAGCCCAGGAGTTCAAGAGCAGCCTGGAAACATGGACCCCCATCGTTATTAAAAAATTTTTGTTGGCTGGGTGTGGTGGCTCACGCCTGTAATCCCAGCACTTTTGGCAGGCGGATCATGAGGTCAGGAGTTAGAGACCAGCCTGGCCAGCATGGTGAAACCCTATCTCTACTAAAAATACAAAAAATTAGCTGGTCATGGTGGCACCGCCCACACCTGTAATCCCAGCTACTCGGGAGGCTGAGGCAGGAGAATTGCTTGAACCCGGGAGGCAGAGGTTGCAGTGAGTGGAGACCATTGCAGTCCAGCCTGGCGACAGAGCAAGACTCTTTCTCAAAAAAAAAAAAAAAAAAAAAGTGAAGAGGCCAGGTGCAGTGGCTCACACCTGGGAGGCTGAGGTAGGCGGATCACTTGAGATCAGGAGTTCAACACCAGCCTGGCCAACATGGTGAAACCCCATCTCTACTAAAAATATGAAAATTAGCCAAATGTGCTCACTTGAAACCCAGGCGGCTGAGGTTGCAGTGAACTGAGATCGTGCCACTGCACTCCAGCCTGGACGACAGAGTGAGACTCTTTTAAAAAAATAAAGGCCGGGTGCGTTGGCTCACGCCTGTAATCCCAGCACTTTGGGAGGCCAAGGTGGGTGGGTCACCTGAGGTCAGGAGTTTGAAACCAGCCTGGCCAACATGGTGAAACCCCCGTCTCTACTAAAAATAGAAAAATTAACCAAGCGTGGTTCTGTGCACCTGTAATCCCAGCTACTCGAGGTGAGACAGGAGAATCACTTGAACCCAGGATGCAGAGGCTGCAGTGAGCTGAGATTGCACCACTGCACTCCAGCCTGGGCGACAGAGCGAGACTCCATCTCAAAAAATAAATAAACAAATAAATAAATAAATAAATAAATAAAAGAATAGGAAACTAACCAAGGAAGGTAGTGGATTAGTGGCAGTTTCAGTAACCTGGACCAGGAGTTCGTATGTTTTATGGGTTGTAGACTTCTTTGAATCTAATGAAAGATGTAATCCTCTCCTCCAAATGCTCAACACCCACAATTTCGGATTCATTGTTAGGGAATTAAGAATCCTTCCTGAAGCATACGATATATGGGTTAATGAACTACATATGGGGCCTGTGGCCTAGCATCACATCTTCCCAGCACAGAATAATTATCACTGAGGTACATGTCTTTCCCAGTGACCTCTCAGGCCATGGACCTCCTAATTCTCACCCTCAGAACCCCATAATTCTCTTTGTGTTCTGGTCTCCTTCTCTGTGCAGGTTGAACGCATTGAGAAGAGATGTCTGGAGCTGTTTGGCCGAGACTACTGTTTCAGCGTGATTCCAAACACGAACGGGGATATCTGCGGCCACTATCCCCGGCACATCGTGTTCCTGGAGTATGAGAGTTCTGAGAAGGAGAAAGACACGTGAGCATCATGTGACCATAGTGTGCATGTCTGGGGAGTCCGTGGCAGCTAATCCGTGTGGCTAGGAAGTCGGTAGCTGGGCAGGGCAGACTCACTTTCCCCAGGTGTTAAGCCTCATTGGCATTTTTATTTACTTCAAGGTTGGACAAGTCAGACTGACAAGGTGGCATGGCATAGAATGAGGGGTTGGGAGTAACAGCCCTTGATTTCTGTTTCACTTCCACCCTAGAGCTCATTGTCCTAAGACAGTTGACTTCACAGTTCACTTCTCTGAATATCAGTGTCCCTTTTTTAGAGAGTGTGGGTGGGAGGTACACTGTCAAGACAGGCTTACCCGCGTTTACCATATGTAGCACTTAGGACCCTGAGGTCTAGAATCAGACTGCTTGAGTTCACATCCTGGATTCCCCTTTTGCTGGCTATGCAACTGATGCTGGGCAAGGTATTTAACTGCTTTGCCCTTAGTTTTCTTATTGGTAATTCTCTACCTCATGTTAATTAGTCCTTTTAAGGACTAACTAAAATTTTAGAAAAGTGGTAGTGCAGTCCAGAGGATAAATAGGGCTGATAAAGCCTGACATGTACGTTGTAAGAATTAGAAATAAAAGCTACCATTTATGGTGAACCTACCAAGAGCTGAGTACCTTATGTGGGATAACAATTTGTACCAGAGCAGACACAGAATGCTTGGTGCAGGATGTGGCCTGTAGTTAGTCAGTAAATGGTGTAGTTATTTGATATTGATAAGTACTCAGAGCATGGGGCTCTAGGAAGTGCTATATGTTGATCTCAAAGTTTGCTCCCCTAATCTCCCTACTTCCTGCTGAATTTAAGGGAATTTCAGGAGCTGTTGTCAGCACTATCTGTGAAATCCTGGCCCCGTGGGTGAAATGTTGTGAGGAGTACCGCAGCAGTCGTGCTACATAATGCAATAGCCCCTTGCTACTCAAAGCAAGGCTAGCAGTGCACTCAATAACTTGTTAGAAACGCAGAAGCTCAGGCTCCAGAGCCATTGAGCCGGAATCTCAGCAGAACATGATGTCCAGGTGATTCGAATGCACTACCAGGTTTGAGAAGCACTGCCATAGGCCAACTGGGGAGAATGGTTAATTCTGCCTGGTGTTTGTGTGCCTGGGAAGAACTGGAATTGGAAGGGTGAGCAGGAATTTCCCTGAAAATGTCCTTAGGGATCAACTCATATAGGGGTCCTGATCATCAGGCCAGGGAGTGTGAACCTGTGGGTTGTGTGTGGGTGTCAGTGGTTTTACTGTGCTGGGAACCCCTGAGCACTTATTAAGATTATAGATTCTCGGCCTGGCCTAGTGGCTCATGCCTGTAATCCCAGCCTCCTTTGGGCGGATCACCTGAGGTCAGGAGTTTGAGACCAGCCTGGCCAACATGGTGAAACCCCGTCTCTATTAAATATACAAAAGTTAACTGGGTGTGGTGGCACACGCCAGTAGCTACTCAGGAGGCTAACACAGGAGAATCGCTTGAACCCGGGGGGTGGAGGTTGCAGTGAGCCGAGATTGCACCACTGCACTCTAGCCTGGGCAACAGAGCAAGAGCAAGACTCCATCTCAAAAAAAAGATTACAGATTCTAGAGCTTCTCCTGGGCCTTCTGGAATCAGAATTTCCAGCCTACATTCTGTGAGAGCTCCCTTGATGTCTTAAATTATAGTATAGCTTGAGAACCGCTGCTGCAGGCCATGGGGAGCCAGAGAAGGTTTACAGCAGAGGAACAATGCTTTAGGAATTTAAGCACTAATGCTTTAGGAGTTTAAGCCTTAGTTTCCTCATCTGTAAAGTGGGGATGTCTATAAGAGTGCCCATCTCGGCCGGGCATGGTGGCTCACACCTGTAATCCCAGCACTTTGGGAGGCCAAGGTGGGCATATCATGAGGTCAGGAGATTGAGACCATCCTGGCCAACATGGTGAAACCCCGTCTCTACTAAATATACAAAAGTTAGCTGGGTATGGTGGCACACACCTGTAATCCCAGCTACTCAGGAGGCTGAGACAGGAGAATCATTTGAACCCAGGAAGCGGATATTGCGGTGAGCCAAGATCTCACTACTGCACTCCAGCCTGGCGACAGAGCGAGACTCCGTCTCAAGAAAATAAAAAAAAAGAGTGCCCATTTCACAAGGTTGTAGTGGGGTTCTCTAAGAAAAGAATGTTAAGGACTCTTGTAAACAGATCACAGAAATTGTATCACATTCTCAGTTATATAACCTAAGAACTCAGGATCGCCAAGCCTAAAGAATTGGGGTTTGTTTTGGCCCCATTATTTATGGTTCTTAGCTCTTCCTTAATTCCTCCTTCCAGAATTAGGTAAACTTCGTTTCTTCTTTTTTTTTTTTTTTTAAGGCAGAATCTTGCTCAGTTGCCCAGGCTGGAGTGCAGTGGTGTGATCTTGGCTCACTGCAACCTCCACCTCCTGGGTTCAAGGGATTCTTGTGCATCAGCCTCCCAAGTAGCTGAAATTACAGGTGCGTGGCACCATGCCTGGCTAATTTTTGTATCTTAGTAGAGATGGGTTTTGCCATAATGGCCAGGCTAGTCTCAACTCCTGGGTTCAAACAATCCGCCTGCCATGGCCTCCCAAAGTGCTGGATTACAGGTGTGAGCCACTGCGCCCGGCCCTGTAAACTTAGTTTCCGTAAACCTTTAAGCTAAAGTTTCTGAACAAGAGGGTTTTGTTTTGTTTTGTTTGTTTTTGCCTTGCCGTCCTCTTCCATCCCCTTCTTCCTACCCTCTTTGGTGCTGGCTGGCTGGTGGTTTTACCTCTGTGCCCTGATGATGACATTCTGATATTAAGCTCAACTGTAATCAAGATGGGTTTTTTTGTTTTTGTTTTTAATTAAGATGGGGTCTGGAATGCAGTGGCACAATCATGGCTTGCTGCAGCCTTGATCACCTGGGCTCAAGTGATTCTCCCACCTCAGCCTTCCAAGTAGCCGGGAATATGGGCACATACCACCCCTCCCAGCGGATTTTTAAAAATTTTTAGTAGAGACGAGGTCTCACTACATTGCCCAGGTGGGTCTCCTGAGCTCAACAGATTTCCTCACCTTGGCCTTTCAAAGTGTTGGGATTAGAGGTGTGTGCCACCACACCCAACAGAGTGGTTCTTTTCTATGTTCATTTTATGAGTGAATCAACTGGGGATCTTTCTACAATGCAGAGATTCAGTAGACCTGAGGTGGGCCTGACATTTGGCATATTCTAACAAGCTCTCAGGTAATACCAAATGTTACCCTTCAGTAACATAATAGTACATTGAGGAACCTAGTCGTGGTTGCCTTGTAGAAGCTTTTCCTGGAAGGAAACAAGTTTAGTGTTGATCCCTTAAAGAGAAAGAAACTAATATTTATTGAGTACCTGCTGTTTGGCAGGTATTGAGGTTTTACATAGATGAAGTTGAAGCCCAGAGAAGTAATTTGCCTTTTCCCAAGATCACAGAGGTAGTAAGCAGAGTGGGGTTAAAAGCTATGTTTCCTGACTCTATACCTGTCTGCCTTTTCTTTCACCACCGCGGCTCTCCCACCTTGTCTAGCAGAACCTCACAGTCAGGCTAAGGCCCCTATGGAACATCATTAACCTTAGAGGAGCTTGTTGGAGTTTGCTTTTACTTTGCACTCCTTGCAAGGCCTTAAAGTGTTACTGAAGTGATATTGAGTGGGTGATGCCTACTTGTTGAAAGGGGGGACTTCGGGTGTGTTTGGGTGGGAAGAAATAGAATTTTTTGCTTTTTTACTGTCTGGCTTGGCTGTTACTATGATGCTGAATTAAACTGAATAGACTGAATAAAAAATAGACTGAATTAAACAGGGTAGAATTGGATTTAAGCAATGTTTTGGTCCTGTTAAGGAACCTCTCCAATTTGGTTCATCATCTGGGAATAGAAGCCTGGACAGGGATCCCCGAATAGCCAAGACATGTTTGTCAACAGTGTTCATTCAGCTGCTGCTGTGTAGTAGACCTCAGGGATCAAGTTGGACGCCAAATAGATGAAGTCCTTACCAGTAGGTCTAGTGGGAAACAGAGTCCAATAAAGAAACAATAACTGTTAATAAGAGCTGGAATTAGGGGAACTACAGGTGAGGCCCTGTGGGATAGTGGTTAAAACCATGGGCCCAGTGGCTACCCACCAGGGTTTAGAATCTCAGCTACCCTGTTTACCTGTTCTGTGACTTTGGGCTAGAGATTTCATCTCATTAAACTACCTCATCTGTAAAATTGGGTAAGTGAGGACTGAGTGAGATAATGTGGGTGTAAGCTCTACTTTGTGCCTCTTATCTATTAAATAATATCAGCAGTAACATCTCAGAAAGTTTTGGGGCACATCATAGGAATAACCCACATAGTTTGGTAAGTGTGATGCCTGTCTGGGAAAGCTTCCTATTGGAAATAGGCGATAACAGCATTTTCTTCTGTATTTGACTGGGCATGGTAGCTCTTGCCTATAATCCTAGTTACTTGGAGGCCAAGATGGGCATTTCACTTGAGCCCAGGAGTTTGAGACTGAATTAAACTGAATAGACTGAATAAAAAATAGACTGAATTAAACAGTCTGGGCAACATGATGAGACCTTGTCGCTACGAAAAATACAAAGCATTAGCCACGTGTCATGCCATGTGCCTGAAGTCCCAGCTCCCTGGGAGCCTAAGGTGGGAGGATCACCTGAGCCTAGGAGGTCAGCTGCAGTGAACCATGGCGCCACTGCACTACAGCCTGGGCAACAGAGGAAGACCTTGTTGGGAAAAAAAAAAACAAAATCTCACTACCTGGTAACATCTTGCCAGAAATTTCAGTGCATACATTACAAATGTAAATACGGAAGCCTACATTTATCCCTTCAAATGTGAGTATTATGTGCCAGACACAGCTCAGTGCTTAGCACTGCAGTAAAAGGATCCTAAGGACAAGAGATAGTAAAAATAAAAACAGGAACTAGTGAGAGAACAGAAACTGAATTGCTTCTTTATTTTTTATTTTTTTTTTACAACGGAGTCTCATTCTGTTGCCCAGGCTGGAGTGCAGTGGCGCAATCTGGTCCCTGCAACCTCTGCCTCCTGGGTTCAAGCAGTTTTCCTGCCTCAGCCTCCCGAGTAGCTGGGATTACAGGTGCGTGCCACCACGCCTGGCTAATTTTTGTAGTTTTAGTGTAGATGGGGTTTCATCATGTTGACCAGACTGGTCTTTACCTCCTGACCTCAGGCAATCTGCCGCCTGAGCCTCCCCAAGTGTTGGGATTACAGGCATGAGCCACTCTGCCTGACCAGAAACTGAATTGGCACTTGATATAGGGGAACCGGTAAAGGAACCACTGGCCGGCCTAACAAGAAAAGCTGGGTCATTACATTAAAAGACCTCCCTAGAGGAAACTGCTGATGTGTCCTCCACCAGGGGTTTTTTGTTTGTTTGTTTGTTTGTTTTTTGAGACGGAGTCTCACTCTGTCGCCCAGGCTGGAGTGCAGTGGCCGGATCTCAGCTCACTGCAAGCTCTGCCTCCCGGGTTTACGCCATTCTCCTGCCTCAGCCTCCCGAGTAGCTGGGACTACAGGCGCCCACCACATCGCCCGGCTAGTTTTTTGTATTTTTTAGTAGAGACGGGGTTTCACTGTGTTAGCCAGGATGGTCTCGATCTCCTGACCTCGTGATTCGCCCGTCTCGGCCTCCCAAAGTGCTGGGATTACAGGCTTGAGCCACCGCGCCCGGCGTTTGTTTGTTTTTAACAGAAGTTTAGCCTGAGAAATGCAGCTTGGTTTTGAGGATAGAACTCAACCTGGGAAAATCAGATGTAGGCAGGATTCAGAGGGCTGGTATGAGCTGAGTGAGAGTCAGTTGCAACATATGGTGCTGACCAGATCTGTGACATTGGCCATGGGCCAAGTAAGTGGGAGGAAGGCCACTGTGGCAGTACTAAAGGCGCTCGGTTTTATGTTCCCGTGGAGTCTAGTTAGGCAATTAATTGGTACTGAGGTGCCTTTTGATTTCATAGAGAAACTGGGTGAGGGGAAGGCAGCACACTCTGGTTCTCTGTCAGCTTGTGTGCCTAGGCCTGCCTGGTGGGTTGTTGCCACCCTATGGGCACTTTGCTTTCTTTTTTTTTTTTCCCCAGACGGAGTCTTGCCCTTCGCCTAGGCTGGAGTGCAGTGGCACGATCTTGGCTCACTGCAAACTCAGACTCCTGGGTTCAAGCAAAAATTCTCCTGCCTCAGCCTCCTGAGTAGCTGGGATTACAGGCATGTGCCACCATGCCCAGCTAATTTTTTGTATCTTTAGTAGAGATGGGGTTTCACCATGTTGGCCAGGCTGGTCTTGAACTCCTGACCTCATGATCCACCTGCCTTGGCCTCCCAAAGTGCTGGGATTACAGGCGTGAGCCACCACACCTATGGGCACTTCTTTGCAAAGGCACCCCAGCCTCTTCAAGTTTGCCATTCTTCCTCCTCCTCTGAACAGAGAAAAAAATTTAATTACAAAAATTACGTCTTACAGGAAAAGACACCATGGGAAGCTCAGTCCTCTTTTTATACCCCTTTGTTCTCTTTCCAAGATCATCAAACTATTCATTCTGGTTTTTATTTGAAGACTGCTTTTTAACTTCATTTTCAGACCCCCATTTGATAGTAGTTATATTGTCAAGCCACAATCACCTATATATATATCTTCTATATATATATATCCTGTTATTCTATATATATCTGCTATATATATATCCTATATATATCTCCTATATATGTGTGTGTGTGTGTGTATATATATATATATATATATATTTTTGAGATGGAGTCTCATTCTGTCACCCAGGCTGAATTATAGTGGTGCAATCTCGGCTCACTGCAACCTCCATCTCCTGGATTCAAGCAATTCTCCTGCCTTAGCCCCCCATGTAGCTGGGATTACAGGTGCCTGACACCACACCCGGCTAATTTTTTTGTATTTTTAGTAGAGGTGGGGTTTCACCATGTTGGCCAGGCTGGTTTTGAACCCCTGACCTCAAGTGATCTGCCCGACTTGGCCTCCCAAAGCACTAGGATTACAGGTGTAAGCCACCATGCCTGGCCCCTAGATATATTTTAAGTAAGAATTCGGCAGTATTTTAAAGACTTTGTGTTTTTATTAACCCTAACAGCATCCAGATACATTTAGACAGGTACTGCAAGTATGTGGGAGTCACTGATTTATTCCTTCTGAGATAATATTTGGGTGCGTGTGTACAAGAGAAGCTGTGTAATAACATGCAGATTCCTAGAAGGATTAGGATGTGAAAGGAATTAAATTCCCTCTAGGAGTTGGTCTGAAAGCTCAACCCTTTTAAGGAAGGAACGTGAGTGTCTTTCCTTCCTTCTGCTGGGTTACTCTGCATAGCTGGGAAAGCTTCCTGCTCTAACTTTCCTGCCTCTTATTTCTCTTGCTACCAGAAGCTCTGACTGGCTGATGTGAGCTTTGCCAAAGGTTGGTAGGTGAGAGTGAACCCTTATTTTAGGGAAGTGTGATTTGATATGGGTGTGACTTGCTGGAGCTCACTTCTAAACCTGACTCATGTTCTAGAAACTCACTTACCAAGCCCAGTGCGTTAACTACTACACATCCCTGTGTCACACCTGGCTTCTTTTATGCCTCCTTTGCTCTGTGTGCTATTGGCCATATGGACTTTGAAAGCAGAGGCCTAGAGCCATGTGGACCAAGAAACGTTATCTCATTCTGCCCTCTAAAACAGCACTCCCCAACCTTTTTGACACCAGGGACTGGTTTCGTGGAAAACAATTTTTTCACGGCAGGTGGGGGAAAATGATTTCAGATGAAACTATTCCACCTCAGATCGTGAGGCATTAGATTCTCTGCAACCTGAATCCCTCACATGAGGAGTTCACAATAGGGTTCGAGCTCCTATGAGAATGTAATGCCGCCGGGCGCGGTGGCTCACGCCTGTAATCCCAGCACTTTGGGAGGCCGAGGCGGGCAGATCACAAGGTCAGGAGATTGAGACCACGGTGAAACCCCGTTTCTAGTAAAAATACAAAAAGTTAGCCGGGCGCGGTGGCGGGCGCCTGTAGTCCCAGCTACTCAGGAGGCTGAGGCAGGAGAATGGCGTGAACCCGGGAGGCGGAGCTTGCAGTGAGCCGAGATTGCGCCACTGCACTCCAGCCTGGGCGACAGAGCGAGACTCTGTCTCAAAAAAAAAAAAAAAAAAAAAAAAAAAAAAAAGAATGTAATGCCACCGCTGATGATCTGACAGGAGGTGGAAGTCAGACGGTAATGCTCCCTTGCACCCTGCTCACCTCCTGGTTCCTAATGGGGCATGGACTCGTACTGGTCTGGGGCCCAGGGCTTGGGGACTGCTTGCTCTAAAAGATCACAAAAATCTATATTCAGAGTTATGTAAAAAATAGATAAATACTCAAAAAAATAGTCCTGTGATTTCCAGAGAGGGTCCCCAGGGCATCAGGTCTTATCCTGGGAGTTAAAAATTGGAAAACCCAGACATAAGATCCAGTTTTCTGTGTATATTTTTGAATTTTGTGTATGTCTTCAGTTTAGCTCACCTTTTTTTTTTTTGTAATCTTAAAGGTTCAGAAATCAGAGTGATTTAAGTTTTAATACCTATAATTAGCACTTTTTTCTTTTCCTGAAAAACTTAATCTCATGCCTGTAATCCCAGCAGTTTGGGAGGCCGAAGTGGGCGGATCACCTAAGGTCAGGAGTTTGAGACCAGCCTGGCCAACATGGTGAAACCCTGTCTCTACCAAAAATAAAAAATTACCCAGGTGTGGTGGCTCACACCTGTAGTCACAGCTACTCGGGAGGCTGAGGCAGGAGAATCACTTGAACCCGGGAGGTGGAGGTCGTGGTGAGCCAAGATTGTGCCACTGCACTCCAGCCTGGGCAACAGCAGTGAAACTCTGTCTCAAAAAAATAAATAGATAGATAGATAGATAGATAGATAGATAGATAGATAGACAGACAGACAGACAGACAGACAGACAGACAGACAGTCTCAAAAAAAAGATGATTGGATGGATGGATGGACGGACAGACGATAGATGATATAAAATTTCGGAATGACATTTAATTTCAAGCAAACATTATATACACAGGTCTGGTATGGGGGGGTCTGTGTGAATATACACAAAGTTCCCACTTCAAAGTCAGCTTGACCTGCTTCTCTTGCCTGTGTGTTAGGTTTGAGAGTACCGTACAGGTGAGCAAGTTGCAAGACCTCATCCACCGCAGCAAGATGGCCCGGTGCAGAGGACGGTTTGTCTGCCCAGTAATCCTGTTCAAGGGCAAGGTAAGGCCCATACCATAGCTTCATGTTCCAAGACTCTCTTCTGGAGTAGCTGACTTAATGCAAAGTATAGGGTCTTTTTTTCCCTCAACATTTAGTAGCCAAGCATTGGGTGATTACTGGGTGCCTGGTGTTGTGGGAAGCAGTCCAGAGAAACAGACCAATTCTGACTGAAGGATGGTTCTACGTAGGGAAGGGATGGTCACACCAGCGTACCCCACCCCATGTTCTAGAGCCAGACTGCCTGGATTCAGATCCTGACTCTTATTTCCTGCCTATGCAAAGCCTCCTTTTCCTCTCCTATAAAATGAGAATAATAATCACCTATTTCAAAGGTTTATGGATTAGATTAAATCAAATGAGTTCATATATATTGTTTGTAATATATAATTCACCAAGTATTTATTGTATGTTGTGTGCCAGACACTGCTTCAGGCCTTAAAATACATCATGTAAAGCAGACAAAAGTCTTTATTCTCATGGAGCTTATATTCTAAGGACTTTCGTTAATTTGGCTTCCCAGTATGGTTTCATTTTACTTATCTTTCGGTGTAAGGGATGTGCCCATTTCATTGCAGATGAAACAAAGGCTCAGAGTGACTAAGTAACTTCCCTAAATACAGGGTACACATCAGGGCAGAGGATGAAGGGAATTGAATGAGGAAGGCTGCAGGCTGAGCAGGGAGGTGGCTCTGTGTTTGCTTGGAGAGCCATTGTGATGTTTGAGCAGGGAAATACTGAATGCAAGTAGCAACTGGGGGAAAATTGGTCCAGGAGGAGTGGACTGACATGCAGAGAGCCTCAGAGTGGAAGGGAGTGGAATTCAGTCTGTTCATTTAGCCGGTATGTGAGTGCCTCAGTGGTCAAGGGCAGGGCAGTGGGGAGAGTCTTGACTGTTGTCTCAGTCCCTGGTATGCCTTTTTTGTAAATTGGGAAAGGGGAGGAAGGAAGGGAGACTCTGCCAAAGGCTTTCTTTAGCAGATCAGTTTTCAGAAGTATGTATGGAAGTTAGGCACTAGAAATTGATCTTCTTAAAGCTGTTGCCACTTTGGAAATTTTTCATGTTCCCGAAAGTTATTGGAGCTTTTTTTTTTTTTTTTTTTTGAGATGGAGTCTCTCTCTGTTGCCAGACTGGAGTGCAGTGGCCCAAACTTGGCTCACTGCAACCTCCACCTCCCAGGTTCAAGCAGTTCTCCTGCCTCAGCCTCCCGAGTAGCTGGAATTACAGGAGCGTGCCACCACACCCAGCTAATTTTTGTATTTTTAGTAGAGACGGGGTTTCGCCATGTTGGCCAGGCTGCTCTCGAACTGCTGATCTCAGGTAATCCGCCCGCCTTGGCCTCCCAAAGTGCTAGAACTATAGGCGTGAGCCACCACGCCTGGCCTGCAGCTTCATTTTAAAAAGTACCACCCTGTACAGCACAGTGCTCGTCATGAGAAGTTGCACAGGAGATACTCCAACCAGTGTTTACCAGTGTTTCTATAGAACAGCAGTTTAAGGATATGCTTGTGAAAAGCATTCCCTGTCAAATAAGAATTAGAAATACTGCATACTAGATTCATAAAGTAGATTGTTAAATGTATGTTGATATAGTTAAGGCTCTGAGAAGTCTTGTAGCAGAGAGGCCTGTGTTAGGTCAGACACGTGGCTCACAGCAGGCACTTAGGAACTAGTGTGATGGTGGCAGCATTATTATTACCAACACTACTTTAGGGGCCAGGTTGAGGAAGAAAGAGAGGTGTGTTAAGAAATGCTTGCTTCTACAACCTAAATGTCTAACAGATGATAAAGAAAATATGGTACATGTACGCAATGGAGTACCATTCAGCTGTGAAAAATAATGAGATCCTGTCATTTGTATCAGCATGGATAGAGGTCATTATGGTTTTTTTTTTGTTTTTTTTTTTTTGTTTTTTTGAGACGGAGTCTCGCTCTGTCGCCCGGGCTGGAGTGCAGTGGCCGGATCTCAGCTCACTGCAAGCTCCGCTTCCCAGGTTTACGCCATTCTCCTGCCTCAGCCTTCCGAGTAGCTGGGACTACAGGCGCCCGCCATCGCGCCCGGCCAGCTTTTTGTATTTTTTAGTAGAAACGGGGTTTCACCGTGTTAGCCAGGATGGTCTCGATCTCCTGACCTCGTGATCTGCCCGTCTCGGCCTCCCAAAGTGCTGGGATTACAGGCTTGAGCCACCGTGCCCGGCCAAGGTCATTATGTTAAGTGAAATAAGCCAGGCACAAAAAGACAAACTTCACATGTTCTCACTTACTTGAAAGCTAAAAAAATTAACACAATTGAACTCATGAAGATAGAGAGTAGAATTATGATTACCAGAGACTGGGAAAGGGTACTGGCAGGGACACGGGAGAGGAGTGGGGATGGTTAATGCGTGCAAAAATATAATTAGAATGAATAAGATCTAGTATTTGATAACACAAAAGGGTGACTACAATCAACAATAATTTATTGTACATTTAAAAATAAGAGTATAGGCCGGGCGCGGTGGCTCAAGCCTGTAATCCCAGCACTTTGGGAGGCCGAGGCGGGTGGATCACAAGGTCAGGAGATCGAGACCATCCTGGCTAACACGGTGAAACCCTGTCTCTACTAAAAAATACAAAAAACTAGCCGGGCGAGGTGGCGGGCGCCTGTAGTCCCAGCTACTCAGGAGGCTGAGTCAGGAGAATGGCGTAAACCCAGGAGGCGGAGCTTGCGGTGAGCCGAGATCGCGCCACTGCACTCCAGCCTGGGGGACAGAGCAAGACTCCGTCTCAAAAAAAATAAATAAATAAAATAAGAGTATAATTGGATTCTGTGTAACATAGAGGATAAATTCTTGAGGTGATGGAACCCCATTTACACTGATGTGATTGTTGTGCATGGTATGCCTGTATCAAAATATCAGCCGGGTGCGGTGGCCCATGCCTGTAATCCCAGCACTTTGGGAGGCTGAGGTAGGCAGATCATGAGGTCAGGAGTTCGAGACCAGCCTGGCCAACATAGTGAAACCCCATCTCTAATAAAAATACAAAAAATTAGCCAGGTGTGGTGGCGGGCGCCTGTAGTCCCAGCTACTCCGGAGGCTGAGGCAGGAGAATGGCGTAAACCCGGGAGGCAGAAATTGCAGTGAGCCAAGATCATGCCATTGTACTCCAGCCTGGGTGACAGTGCCAGACTCTGTCTCAAAACAAAAAAAAAATCTCATGTACCCCATAAATAAATAAATGTACCCACAAATATTTTTAAAACTTAAGTACTTCCAGCAGAAACAGAAAATCAAATACCGCATGTTCTCATTCATAAGTGGGAGCTAAACAACAGGTACGCATGGTCGTAAAGGTGGAAACAATAGACACCGGGGACTCCAAAAAGGGGAGACAGGAGGAGGAGGAGGCAAGGGTTGAAGAATACCTATTGGGTACTATGTTCACCATTTGGGTGATGAGTTAAATAGAAGCCTAAACCCCAGCATTACACAATATATCCATGTAACAAACTTGGACGTGTACCCCTGAATCTAACGTGTAAGAAAAAAGAAATGCTTGTGTTCTGCTTCCTTCAAAACGCAGTTCGGCGTGGCTAGTGCAACTGAGAAACTAAGGGTTATATTTTACTTCATTTCAATTTAATTTTTAAGGCTTGAAGCAGTATAAAAGTTTGTCATGGTTAAAAAGAACTTTGAGGCCGGGCGCGGTGGCTCAAGCCTGTAATCCCAGCACTTTGGGAGGCCGAGACGGGCGGATCACGAGGTCAGGAGATCGAGACCATCCTGGCTAACATGGTGAAACCCCGTCTCTACTAAAAAATACAAAAAACTAGCCGGGCGCGGTGGCAGGCGCCTGTAGTCCCAACTACTCGGGAGGCTGAGGCAGGAGAATGGCGTGAACCCGGGAGGCGGAGCTTGCAGTGAGCTGAGATCCGGCCACTGCACTCCAGCCTGGGCGGCAGAGCGAGACTCCATCTCAAAAAAAATAAATAAATAAATAAAATTTAAAAAATAAAAAAAATAAAAAGAACTTTGAAATGGGCCCACATTTCCCTTAAAATGCCCAAAGTTTTTTTGTTTTTTTTTTTGTTGTTTTTTTTGAGACAGTCTCTGTTGCCCAAGCTGGAGTGATGCCATCTGCCTCCCAGGCTCTAGCGATTCTTGTGCCTCAGCCTCCCAAGTAGCTGGAATTACAGGCACATGCCTCCACACCTGGCTAATTTTTGTCTTTTTAGTAGAGACTGAGTTTCACCATGTTGGCCAGGCTGGTCTCAGACTCCTGGCTTCAAGTGATCTGCCCACTCTGGCCAAAGTGCTGGGATTACAGGCATGAGCCACCACACCTGGCCAATGGCCAAAGTTTCACATCCTACTTAAGATATGCTTTAAGTGTAAAATACACATCAAATTTTGAAGATTTAATAGAAAAATGTAAAATATTCATTTTAAAAGTGATTACATGTTGACATGTCTTGGATATGATGGGTTAAGTAAAATATTTAAATAATTTTTCAAAATTCAGTTCAAGCATTGAGCGGTAAGTTCTCATACCATTTTCTCCCCAAACACTTGTGTCTGGCTTTGTTAGACCACTGAAACTGGAACAATTCATCTTTCTTTTTGTTTAAGGGGAGCAGAGGTCAGAGGTTACTAAATTAGCAAATCATCCAGAGTACTTTTCCACAGACAGAATTAGAGGCCATTCCTAACTAGGTAAATGGATAGCATTCAGGGTAGATCTTGCGTTTTCAGTCAGGAGCCAGCTTAAAGGGCAGAGATGATGGGTTATAAGTCACAATCATGAGGCAGGTGTCTATCAAGAGGAGTCAACCCTCCCCCAGGGGCCTTCCTGAAGAGGCCGGTGCCCCACTTGGGGACTTGGCCAACTTGTTCTTCTCCATCTGACTCTGGGGTTTTGCTGGCCTAGGTCTGGCTGCCTCAGTTACTAAAAAGACAAGATCAATAGAAGGGATGTGGAAGAAGAATTGGGAACAGAAAAAGGGTCTCTACTCAACAGCCAAAAAGAAGGCAGCTATCTTCGCTGAAAGATTTAACAGAAATAATGCAAAGGAGAGTGAGGTCAGCTGCCAGCAGCTTAGATGAAGTGGGGAGGGTGGACATTATACAAATGCCAGTGGAACAGGCAGCCACACACCCTGCCAACGTCTTGAGGAAATCAGACTTACCCCTTTTCTTTGGAGTCTTAGAGGTCCTCAGCCCTTTCCTGCAGAAGCATCCACTTTGCTCCTCACTACTTGACTGATTCCTTAAAGCAAGGGCTTTTAACAGGGTCTGGGGATGGGTTCATCAGTGGGCTTGAGAGAGTCCAGAAATCCCTGGAAATGTAAGTAGATTATGATGTGTATATATATATTTTTTTTTTCAGGAGATAGTTGATAGTTTTTATCAGATTTTCAAATTGCTTTTAGGCCCACAGAAATTTAAGTGGCCCCCACTGGAGTACATCCTACTTAGGCCAGCAGGAATGCCAGCCCTTGATAGGCTTCCTCAGTGGGTTTCCAGGATAACCTCTCCACAAACCAGCTCTTGCCCCAGCACCAGTAAAGCCCCTCACTCTGTCCCAGGTAGCTTTTCTATTGCTGTCCCCACCCCTAGGCTGCTGCTACCTCAGGGAGAGCCAGAAAGTGACCTAGTTGTTCCCATGCACAACTCTTTGCTGTAGCAGCAAAACTTTCCTTCCCATTATGTTATAGGTAGAGAAGAAGCCTTCAGATGGTACTTGGCAATCTTCCAGGGATCCACTTTCCATTTGCACATTGTGTGACCCGTTTAGCAGTGAGCTTCACTCCTTGTCTGTCACCTCACAACTTCCCCATTGCAGTGTAACGGGGCCATGTTCTCCTAGCCTTTAGCTAAATTCTGGGCTGGTTTGCCTTCCCATCACCAGGTATCTCCTCCCATTCCCCCCACCCTACCACATTTCAGCAAACACTATTTATTTAAACAAGTAACCTTACAATTAGATATTGAAGTTTGTGCCAGTTGCCTGGTTTCTAGAATTCTCTTACAGTGATCCCTTCAGTGATGAGGAAAAGAAAGCTCTAAAACATTTCTCACCCAGCCCCACTAGAAAGGTTGTTCCCCTCTACACTGAACAGTTCCAAATCACAGTAAGCACATAGGCTTTAGGGGTCAGTGGGTTTGGATCAAATCCTAGCTTACCTCTCGTTATATGACCTTACATATCACTTAACCTCCTTTAGCCTGTTTTTCTTTTCTTCATCTGTGTAACAGCAACAATACATGCCACCTGCCACATCTCCCTCATGGGCTTGTTGTGAGAAGATGGCGGGTTTTTCAGTACCATGTCCAGCACGTGGTACACATGCAACAACCACCCAATCTGATGCGATCCTGTTGGTAACACTGGCGCCTCTTGTTTGGGAGTGAGACTCCCTCAGTAGAGGTTGTGAATTAAGTACTAGGGATCTTCTGACTGATTGTGGCAGCCTTGATGCTGATAAAACTTTGGGGAGTGCTGGGCCCATTATGCTGGCCTGGAAGAATCAGAAGAGTCCCAGGTGTTCCTTCAACTGTGCATGCTTCAGAAAACCATCTGACCCTGAAAATGCTGTTTCTCTCCCAGCACATTTGCAGGTCGGCCACACTGGCTGGATGGGGAGAGCTGTATGGACGCTCAGGCTACAACTATTTTTTCTCAGGTGAATGTTGAACAGCATCCTCTGATGTAGAATGAGAACCCAGTCATAGAGAATAGCTACCTGGGCTGGGCGCCGTGGCTCACGCCTGTAATCCCAACACTTTGGGAGGCCAAGGAGGGCAGATCACAAGGTCAGGAGTTCAAGACCATCCTGGCTAACTAAAAAAATACAAAAAATTAGCTGGGCGTGATGGTGCACGCCTGTAGTCCCAGCTACTCGGGAGGCTGAGGCAGGAGAATCACTTGAACCTGGGAGCCGGAACTTGCAGTGAGCCGAGATCACGCCATTGCACTCCAGCCTGGGCGACAGAGTGAGACTCCATCCCAAAACAAAAGAATAGCCACCCATGGCCACAGTAGAATAGGTAGGGGGTCTCAGTGAGCTGGGTGGAGATCAGGGGCCTGCCTTTGATCAGGGACCAGGAGACAAATAGGAGTTCACCTTAGAGGTGAAGACTACCAGACATATAGGGGCATAGTGTTTCCTTAAGGGTAGAGCCATGTTGGCCCAGCCCACCCTTGGCACTACGGGGAAGGAGGCTGGTGAGGAGGCCCCTGTGTGGAGCCCTGGGTCACCAGCCTCAGTACTGACAGATAGGTTTCTCTGGCAGGGGGTGCAGATGATGCCTGGGCAGATGTGGAGGACGTCACGGAGGAGGACTGTGCTCTTCGGTCAGTGCTGAGTTGCTGTGGTCAGGGGCTTGTGTTGGGGACGGGGTGTCTGGCCAGAGATGGCCATGTTCATATTGTCCATGTGTATTTGTCACTGGTTCAGGTGAGTGGATTGGCTTCTTTCCCTTCTGTCTGCCAAGTCTGTGCCCCTGAAATAGGGCTGTTGAAGTCCACTGAGTGCACATCTGGATTCACAGAGAACATCCCACTCTTGGGGTTCCTGGTACTGCAGGCCTGAGATAGGGCCCAGACATCTATATTTGTTTAAAAGCCCCACAGAGTTGCCAGTTTGCAGCTGTGATGCTGACTACCAACGTGCCACATCTCACCCAGTACACCTGGTACTGAGGCACAGGGCAAGGGCTACAGTCCATAAGTAGGAGACATGAGGTCTAGCCTGGAAGGCACATTTGGAGACCAGATGTGTCACAGCTGCATGGTTGGTATGGAACAGGAGTTTGAATCCCTATAAAAGGAGGAAATGGGCTGGTTCACACTCTTCCTATCCCCTTTCCAAATGTTTTTAGAAAACAATGCTACAGGTTATTTTAGAAAAGCTCCTTTGCATGGTCTGTACCACATGGAAAGTCTTTAACTGGTGTCAAGCATCTCTGGAATGCACACAAGCACCCTAGTTAAGATCAGCTTCCCAAATCATAGTTCAGTTCATGAAAGGGCATCTTGCTATGCTCAGGTTCTGCCTGTTAGCTCTGAAAGCAGCGGCTCTGGCTTGTGCTCAAGAATGTTTGGCTTTTCTCCCTAGATCAGGTGACCTCTGCCCAGCCAGGTCACCATCTTCAGCATATACTGTTCTTGGCAAGGAAACTACTGGGGACAACAAAGCAGTGTGGATTAAAAAAATAAAAAAGTAATGGTGACTGTTTATGCTTTCTACTTCTGCCTGTATCTGCAGGGCTGATCAAAAGGCAGCACTGAGCATTAAAATTTTTATCTTTCTCTTTGCTTCATTGGCCTGCTAGGTAGAGGGAATTTACTTGCTAGTATTTCATAGTCAGTTGATAAAATAGCTCTAAAAACTTTATCTCTACAAGAATTTCAGACTGTTACATTATGAGCAAGTCATGTGGCTAAAAATGGTCATAAATGGGGGAAAAGGAGGCGGCGGAAGGAGATCAATTCTAATGGAAATGGAAAGATTCTATCAGCCACCAGCCTGCTGCTTTTTAGAACCCTGAGATTATCTTGAGTCCTCTGGCTTAATGTCAAGCAATGCCAGAAAGTCCTTTTCCATTTCCACCTGCAAATTGCTCCTCTTTGAAATACATCCCAGAGATGGGGGTAATCTCTTAGAAAGTCACCTTTCCTGCAACCTCTCTGAAACCAGTTGTCCTGTTTGGCACCCATGCGTCCACCTAGCACACGCCCCAGCTTCTGGAGAAGAGTGACATCCATACTTCCCTGAATGAGTGCCCACTCCCTGGCTCCTCTGAGTGAACATGCTATGTAACTTCTTCCTCTGACTCTTCATTTCAGAAGTGGTGACACGCATCTTTTTGATAAGGTCAGAGGCTATGACATCAAGCTGCTTCGATACCTGTCAGTCAAATACATCTGTGACCTGATGGTGGAGAACAAGAAGGTGAAGTTTGGCATGAAGTAAGTACAGGGGCCACAAAATGAGCAGAGGCAGTGTGTACAGATTTGTAGGGCTGGCATTAGTATGTAGCTGTCACTGTGTGCTGGCCTTCTTACAAAGGGCTTTCTGTACATTCTCTCACTGTATCTTCAGACAGCCCTACAAAACAGGTATCAGTGTCCCCCTTCTACAGATACTGAAGCACAGAGAGATGAAGTAGCTTGCTCAGGTTGTACGTTAGTGACTGTGGTAGCCATCAGTCTCCACCCAGTGCTCTGCTGCCACTTTCTCTTCCTTATCAAATCTTTTTTTTTTTTTTGAGACGGAGTCTGGCTCTGTCGCCCGGGCTGGAGTGCAGTGGCCGGATCTCAGCTCACTGCAAGCTCCGCCCCCCGGGTTTACGCCATTCTCCTGCCTCAGCCTCCCGAGTAGCTGGGACTACAGGCGCCCGCCGCCTCGCCTGGCTAGTTTTTTGTATTTTTTTAGTAGAGACGGGGTTTCACCGTGTTAGCCAGGATGGTCTCGATCTCCTGACCTCGTGATCCGCCCGTCTCGGCCTCCCAAAGTGCTGGGATTACAGGCTTGAGCCACCGCGCCCGGCTTTTTTTTTTTTTTATTATTCTGGCTCCAAGTTCTATGCCATGTGTGGCAGATTAGAATCTCTTAATTTTTAAAATTTATTTTTCATAGAGATGGAGTCTTTGTTGTCTAAGGGGGTCTCAAACATGTGGCCTTTAAGCAATTCTCCTGCCTCAGCCTCCCAGAGTGCTGGGATTACAAGTATGAGCCATTGTGCCTGGTCCTAGAATTTCTTTTAAAATTGAACCAAAAAATCAGCATATATTCAAATTTTACTTCAGTGACTGCTGTCATATAAAAATAACACATATGAACCAAATTCAAATATAAGAAATCAAAACTAAAAAATAGAGCCTGGGTTAGTGATGAGACTGTAGGAGCTTTTTCCAAAATTTTGTTTTTTAAATGATTTTTAAATGTTTTTAAATGATCCTAAAAGGTGATCTTAGAAAATAAGGCATACTGAGGCTAAAATTAGAGCTCACCTATCTGAGATCTGAATATTGCCTTATTCCTCCCTTCCTTTATCTGTCAGAGTCCCCAGTGTTTATTTTCAGATGCTGTTTGTTCACCCTGTTTAGAAGTGGGCTCAGTGACTATTAGAGAAGACAGGAGAGCAGGAAAAAAGCTTTCCCATAGGATCATATTATTTGGCTCTCATCTCACTCCTGGGTCAGAGTGGCTACACTGTGTGCATTTTGGGGTCAGAGAAGGTAGAGTTCTTTTTTTGAGATGGAGCCTCACCCTCTCACCCCAGCTGGAGTTCAGTGGCACGATCTTGGCTCACTGTAACCTCTGCCTCCTGGGTTCAAGCAATTCTTCTGCTTCAGCTTCCAGAGTAGCTGGGATTACAGGAGCGCACCACCACACCCAGCTAATTTTTTATATTTTTGGTAGAGAGAGTGTTTAACCATGTTGTCCAGGCTGGTCTTGATGGGGTTTCTCCATGTTGGGAACTTGACCTCCAGCCACCGCACCCGGCCAAAGTTATAGTTCTTAATTGTACAAAGTAGGCACTGCTGAAGGGAATTATTAACATTGAAGAATACTTTTTTAGCAGAAGCTTCATTTGTGATTATAACCCTTATTTGGGGAATGGTGTGTGTGTTGCGACACTGTAACACCTGTGTCCTTGTCTTGTAGTGTAACCTCCTCTGAGAAGGTGGACAAAGCCCAGCGCTATGCCGACTTCACTCTTCTCTCCATCCCGTATCCAGGTAGGGGGCTCTCTTCTAGTGGCGGGCATCCTAGGACTGGCGACCTAGGGGGCCATGAGCAAGCCCTCTCTACTTAGTTACACTGGAAGCTTTCCTGGAGGGTTTGCGTCAGGCAGCGTAGGACATTTTAGTTCCTAGTCACAGGCCACGCTAAGCGTAGGATAGTGTCCTGGGGAAGGGGCTTTCCACTCAAGGGGTCTAGGGATTGAGCACTGTCACTGGTCCTAGCCACAGCCTTAGTGAAGTACTTCACCCCTCCAAGCCTCAAGTTTTCTCAGGAACTTGGAACAATTTAGCTCAGTTTTGATTTATATGAAAGTGGTCTGTGCATGAAAATACCATTTAAGTGTAAAATAACATTATTAGTACTCTGTGTCAGCAACTATACTTGCTGCTCTAGCCTGAGTGGATGTCACTCTTTGGGTGCATGTCTTGAAGTGATTGAGTTATTTATGGAAATTGCCCCAGGCAAGGCTATTCTGGTGGTAGAAGAACACATAATTGCTATGTTCCCAGTAACTGGACAGTGGCCACACCATGTTGCAAAGCACATTGGTATCCACAAAGCTGCATTTGTCCCTGGCACATAAAAGTGTGTGCAACCTGTGGCCAGGGCTATATTCTCTACAGTGGATATTAAAGCTGTTAGTCTAGTTTGTAGCATTCAAGCTTTCTGGCAATACCTGCCTGTTCAGCAAGGGAGGGCAAGGAGCTCTAACATCAGTGCAAGATGTTGTCAGCAGACAACAGGGAGTAATATACTCTTTCTCCTTAAAACCTCTCTCCTGTTTCTCAGCACCAGCATCTGCCTTCAGTCTTGTGTTGGACCTTATCTCCTCAATCTTGGGGCCACATAGCCATGAGCAAGGGCAGGCAGGTTCATCTAGTGCCTTGTAGGAGGGGTGTCCTCATCATGTGCAAGATGGTGGTATCCAAACTCCAGCCCCTGGTAACCCGGCACCTCTGCAGGGGACTTCCCCTGCCTCCTGCAACCTCTCCTGAGTCTGTTCCCCGTTCTCTGCTAGCATAGTGTTTGGTGCCACATAGAACTGGGCAGGAATCCCAGCCCTAGCACTGTGTCTCCTTGAACAAGTCCTGTAACCCTTCTGAGCATCAGTTTCCTCCTTGAGAAAATGAAGATAATGGTGCTTATTTCAGAGTGAAGTGCCGGACCACTCCATAACAGGTGTCCTGTAAATAAGGCCCAATGATGAGTAGTTGGGAAAGCCTCAGGGAACCTCCTCTTCCCTAAAAGCAAGTTTGGGCTGATGCAGATGATGATGATGATGATAATGCTGCTGGAGTGAACTTGGCAGTATCAGACCCACACTGATGGGAGTATCCTACCTAAGGGAGTCCACACTGGAACCATTGGGTAACTCCATAGCTAGTTTTCAGACATAGTTTCCAGCTCCCAGGAGATGCTTCGGGGGTTCCACAGACTGAACTCTGCAGATTTGCACTGCCTGAGGAACCAGGCATTACTTCATTTAAATTTAGGTTTCAAGTAGGACTTGGTTTGGAAAAAATAGTTTTGCTAGAAGTATAAATACCATTGCTCCAAAATAGTAGCGCAGTGTCCTTTCTGCTATAGTTTGGCAACTTGTTACAAGACTCCCAAAATGTTATCACCCTTTAACCCAGGTATTTTTCTAATAATTGGTCATTAGGCTGTAATTCAGCCACTTGGTGTTGAGGACGTTCTTCATGATGTCTATTTGTAATAGCAAAACAAGAAATGTTTTCACTAATCAGAATAATGATTGAATGATGGAACATCCATCAGTAGAATGAAATATAGTATAGTCATAGAAGAATCGGAAATCGGCTGGGCACAGTGGCTCACGCCTTTAATCTCAGCACTTTGGGAGGCCTAGGCAGTAAGATTGCTTGAGCCCAGGAGTTCAAGACCAGCCTGGGAAACAGCGACACTCTGTCTCTACCGAAAAAAAGAAAAAGAAAAAAATAGAAAATGCTTACACTTTTTGATACGGAAAACGTCACAGAGCTTAAGATAAGCAGGATACAGAATCACATAGTATACTCTCAACTAAGTAAAGGAAAACGTGCTTACAAAAAAAGGCTTAAAAGGAAGTGTGCCAAAATGTTAAGATGCCTGAATGCTTTCCCCAAAACTTTTTTTGTTGTAGAAGGCACCAAAAGCTGGGCGCAGTGGCTCACGCCTATAATCCCAGCACTTTGGGAGGCCAAGGCAGGCAGATCACCTGAGGTCGGGAGTTCAAGACCAGCCTGACAAACGTGGAGAAACCCCATCTCTACTAAAAATACAAAATTAGCCGAGCGTGGTGGTGCATGCCCGTAATCCCAGCTACTCGGGAGGCTGGTGCATGCCTGTAATCCCAGCTACTCAGGAGGCTGAGGCAGGAGAATCACTTGAACCCGGGAGGTGGAGGTTGCAGTGAGCCGAGATTGTGCCATTGCACTCCAGTCTGGGCAACAAGAGCGAAACTCCGTCTCAAAACAAAAATAAAAACAAAAACATAAAAGACATAAAAAAGACATCAAAAGAGACCAAAATTTGTATGTACTGCATCTGACAGTTAGGGAGGGTAATGAAGATCAATAAAAATAAAAAAGCTGGAGATGGGGTGAGACACCATTACACACCCAAATAAGGGGAACAGAAGAATCACTTTTTATTTGATAGACTTGTGTTCTTGTGTTTTTTTAAAAAAAAAAAAAACATATTTCTCTTACTTTATAATAAGAAAAATAAAATAAAATTACTATTATCCAAACCAAGTCATGAGCTGCACTTTGATGCTGTTTGAGGAATCTCAGTTGAGCCCTATGATGACTTTGAGGCTCAAACAGGTACTCAGTAGTCTCAGTTCTAGCTGTGTCACTCTATCTTGGGCCCTTGGAAATGAGAAGTATTCTGGGATCATTTCTTTCAGCACACCAAAATAGATGGGCCCAAATTCTGCAGCACAAATCTAATCTGTTTCCTCCTTGAGTGAATGGCTCTTCTCATCCTGCTTTTGGTCCCTCTCCTCTTGCCTGACAGTGGTTCAGAAGCCTATTCAGGTAATGAGCATCAAGCATTGCCCTGAGTAGAGTCTGTTTTAATTCTGTTTCTCACAAAAACTGCTTCTGTATCATAGGTGGGTCTGAACTCAGCCTAAGGCTTGCAGTGTTGATTTGAGCAGCTAGAGTTGGGAAAACAGCACTTCACAAGAGCTCTGAGAGATAATTGGTGTCTCTTCTAAACCTGGGCTCATAACTCAGGGCCTCTGTCTGAGATCTGTAATTCTTCTTTCTCCCAGTGAGGCTCCCAAGAATAGGCTAAAGTAATGACTGAGGATTGTTTCCAGACTTCTTGAGGCCTGGGGATTAGAGTGCAGGGTGTGTATGGAATGAAAGACAATTCTGGAAAACATGGACTGGGTCTCCAGGGAAGCTTTCCTATCTTCCCTGAGGTGGCCTCAGACAGGAACTTGGCCCAAGAATTGCTGCGACATTCCATGTGAATCCTTGCAGCTACTTCCCCTGAATTTGGATGATTGTTTTCTTGCCTCTGGGACCTCACCAGACTTGGAGGTGTGGCCAAAGCTACATGCCCTCTGAAGTTTGTGTAGAGGTCCTGATTGAGGTGCTGAGAATAACTGCAAGCTAGCCAAGTGCCTTCTCCCACGGTATTTCTTGAAGCCACCAGGAGCTCTTGGAGGACCAGATGCTCACTGTGCTATGGTCAGACTCAGCAGGGGCAGGCCACAGCCTGGGGGCACAACTCATTCTCTGTGACCAAGGCAGCCAACCCCAAGTGCAGAGCAAAGTAGTTGACTTCAAGCTGTGGGCTGGCACTGTGGGCTCTTGTTGCAGTGGCAGTGTGATGACAATGGTGTGCTGCCATTTGAGTGCCACTTGGATCAGTGCTGTGCTACGTGTTTTATATGTATTCTGTCATCCTTAAACAGCCATTTTACAAATGAGAAAATCAAGGCTTTGAGACATTAAACAACTTGTTCAGCGTTACAGTGTTAAGTAAAAAGCTGAGATTTTAAGCTGGGAATGTTGCCAAAGCCCTATTCTCTCCAGTGTTTCTCTATTCCTGAGGGCTTGTCCTGGTGGAGTTACTTACGATTTTTCCACCAAATAATATAGAAAAATACCTCTTTGCTTTGTTGGGCATGGCAGTGTCTCTTGAACACCAGGTTTTAGGCACTGTCCATGGGCCTTTCCAGTATGTTAGGATGTTTAGTCTTCACTAAAGGCCTGCAAGGCTAGCATTATTTGCCCCCATTTTAGAGATGAGGAGGAGTGATCCTCTGCAGCTAGGCTGCAGTGGCTCACGTTGTGAGTCATGCGTTTGTTTACTGGGATTGGCACTACAGAGACCTGTAGGAAAAAGGGACTTGCAATGTGGGGGAAGTGACTGGTGACCAGTGAGCATAGATGGAGAAAGTTACAAAGAGGCTGAGAGCACACGGTGCCTCGTGGAAAAGGCATGCAGCCAGGAAACCAGAGGGACTCTAGAGGCTCGCCTCTGGCTTTTGCCCACCCATGTCAGCCTTGGCCTCACTGGAGCCACTAGTTTGGAGAAGTGTGAGCTGGCGGCCCCCTCTCCACAGCACTCAGGGACCTGGGTCTGGCCAGAGCTATCTCAGAAGACTTTGGGCTGGGAAGGGAGGTGTCATAACTCTGCCCTTCTTTTCCAGGCTGTGAATTTTTCAAGGAATATAAAGATCGGGATTACATGGCAGAAGGGCTCATATTTAACTGGAAGCAGGTATGAGCAATAACATACATCAAATTGGGTCTTATGTCTCTTTGTAAAGGAAGACCAAGGAGAGCAGCAAGCAGTCTTTTGGGGGAAAGTAACTCCCTCTTTCCTTTCTCCCCTGATTGTTTCTTTCTTTCTCTCCCTCTTCTCCTTGTATATACATGTTAAATTTTCATCATTATACTTTCCTCTCCCCTTTATTTGTCTTTTGTTTAAGGGAATTTTTCAGAAACAAGATAGGAAAAGCCCTTCTTTCTGTACTCTCTGTGTGAAAGCTGGGGGCAGCATTCTGTGCCTTCCCCAGCCTGTAGGGGCAGGCCATGGAAAACCTGCTGGAAGCTGAACACATTGATCTTGCATGTTTCAGCAACAAACATCAAATGTCCGACTGAAAAACTCTACTCAGCTGTAATGATCTGGTCACATTGATTTTTAAGCTGTCACTCCCAGGTAGCACAGGTATCTGGCCCAGGGAAGGCAAGCGCTGCCTGTGGTAGTCACAGCCTCAGGACTGCAAGCTTCCCCATCACCTTAGCCTCCTCTGGTGGCCAACCCACATCTCACAGGAGTCTTTCTGTCCCCAGGACTACGTTGATGCCCCACTGAGCATCCCTGACTTCCTGACTCACTCTCTGAACATTGACTGGAGCCAGTATCAGGTGAGGGACCTGACTCAAGCATTGAGGGCAGGATAAGGGAGTGGGAACCAAGAAGACCCCTGACGTCTGCCCCACAAGGTCCTCATGTGTTTGCCTGATGGGCTGGTTTGTGCCCTCAGATGCCTTTGGCCCTCTGACCTCTCAGAACGGAGGAATTGTGTGTCCGTTCAACTATCTCTTGATTTGCTCATGTCCCAGAAAATCAAAGCTTTCTGAACGTGACTCATTCAAAGATTTGCATCCACCAGGGGGTTCTGTTTCCAGAGGACCTCATAGAGTCTGCTATTCCAGATCTGGGCTTTAGTTACTTTTACATTTTTCCTTTTAAACGTGTGTTCAGCCAGAGGAAGTACAGAGCTGCCTGACCTCATTTGATTATAGAAACGTTAAAATTACTTCCACCATGCTCTTCTCCGTCACTGCACACCATGGAAGGGGCCCCTAGTCTTACTGGAAACATTTCTCTACCCTTACTTAGCCCACACAGTGTGAAGGCTGCCAGTAGCTTTGCTTGTCACTTGCTTCAAACAGAACAAGTAGTTTTGTTTTTCTGCGACCTTTCCCATGTCCTGTGCCTCTGCCTGGCTGCCACCTCTCAGCTTCCTCTTGTCTGGCTGACATACTGCCCTTCAGGCTTTGGCTCAAGTGTCTGCTTCAGGAAGACTTCCCTGATCTGCCTCTTCCTTATCCCTGGCGAGTTGGATGCCTGCATCTATATTCCCATTAACCCCCTGGGCACATCCATCATGGAATTTTCCACTGAGCTGTAGTCACTGATTTAGAGATCTGCTTCCCTGAAATCCTGGAGGACAGGGACCCACAGTTTGTGTATCCCAGCACAGAAGCAGGCACAGAGCCTAGAACTTGAAAGACTGAGCCAGTGAGCAACAGAAAACATTCTCCCTCCCTGCTAGTTTCCCCTGTCCCCAGGTCTAGACAGCTCCCACCTAGCCTTGAGATCTCTCTCTTTGAAAGGCTGACCTGGCTATGTTAAGCAACCCATCACCAATGTCAGTACTCTTGTTGTCCTGATAGCAGCAAAGTCCATCTTGTTTTCTCTGTATATATCCAGCCCCTAATCACAACGTTTATGCTCACAGCAACTGTTTGAGTGTATGAAGTAGGGTGATGTCAGGTCTCCCCTGTGCAGGTGTTTGCAAGAGAGGGAGCACTGGAGAGGAAAGCAGGCCAGTTTATTATGGTCTGGAAGCCTGGAGAAGGAACAGGTTTGGGCTACCTGTGCTGTGGTCTCATGTCCCAGGCTGTGTCTAGACAGATTGAGTAGATAAAAGAACCGGCAGGTTTCCTTCTTTATGTGCTGTATGCAGGGGTCACGTAGACTCTGCCCCAAACCACCCTCTTTCTGGTCCCTTCCGGCACCATTTTTTCTCCTTATGCAGGTACAAACTGGATCTGATGAACTACTCAGCAAATGAGATGTGACAGTTCCAGGCACTGGTCCCGCCAAGGATGTTTACCTCTTTAGGAAGGGGTCCTGTGCATGTGAGGAGGTACTCTGCTTAGTAGATGCAGGCCCTAGATCTAGGTCCCAGCTTGCCTGGCCCTTCCTGCAAGGCTCTGTGGCCTAGAACAAATGACCTCACTTCCCCCTGAAAGTGGTGTTGGCAGTACCTATTTCAGAGTTGTGCCAGGCTCAAATATGATCACTGCTTGAAAGGGACTACTGAACTGAAATACCAGACAGATTGTAATGATAATTATGAAGAGGCTGCTAGCTGGCTAACTCAGGGAAGTGAACACTGATAAACTTGCAGGCGTGAAGGCAGCAGGGCTGGAGTGTAGCAGTCAGGCAGGTGCCTCCTAAGAGGCCACCTCTTTGGTGTTGCTCAACCTGTTTATCTCACTGGGGCTCCTAGCATCCTCTTCCTTCACTGGGTGTGGGCTCTGCCCTTTCTGCCGGCAAAGCCCTGGGGTGCTGGTACCCTGTTCCTTTTCACCATCTCCCCAGGTGATCTTATCCATCGTCCATGCCATGAGCCCACAGCCAGGCCTCTCTGATCCATACCTGCATCACCTTTCACACATTGTCCCTTCAGGTGGCCCCTCAGACTTAAGCTGTCCAGAGTAGAGTTGGCCATGGCCACCGTTTACCCAGATGCTGACACCTGAAACTTGAGTTCTTTGCTTCCACCACATCCATCACCAGCTCCCATTGGTTCTCTAGTCTCTGCCCCAGATGCAACTGCAATCCTTCTTGCCCTCATCTCCCATGCAGTGCCTAGCTCAGGCCACCACTGTCTCAGTGCATCTCACAGCTGAGTATGGGGCCTCACTGAGGAGTAACTAGAAATGAAGTGCTCAGATAGCAACCACTGAAATGATAGAGCAGGGCCATCATTGTCACCCCTGCCTTAAAACCTACCAATGACTTCCCATTTTCCTCACAATACAATGTAAGAGCTTGTACATGGCCTACCCAGCTCCATGCAGTCTGGTCTTGCCTGTTCTTGTGACCAGCTGATCTTCCTGCAGCCCCACTGCCTCCCTTCAGCTCCTTAAGAAGGCATCCCATGGCCGGGCATGGTGGCTCACACCTGTAATCCCAGCACTTTGGGAGGCCAAGGCAGGCGGATCACGAGGTCAGGAGATTGAGATCATCCTGGCTAACATGGTGAAACCCCGTCTCCACTAAAAAATACAAAAAATTAGCCGGGTGTGGTGGTGGGCACCTGTAGTCCCAGCTATTCGGGAGGCTGAGGCAGGAGAATGGCGTGAACCTGGGAAGTGGAGCTTGCAGTGAGCAGAGATCGCGCCACTACACTCCAGCCTGGGTGACAGAGTGAGACTCCATCTCAAAAAAAAAATGGCGACCCTCTCCAGGTTCACACATGCTGTTTTCTCTGCCAGAAACACATGTTTCCTTTCTCTGTTGCTTATGCTGTCTCATGTCATTACCTCTGAGAAGCCTTCCCTGATGTCCCTACAGATCAGGCTCGGCTCTCCAGTCACATGGTCGCACAGCATCCTAGAGGTCTCCTTTTAGTTGCACACCTGCAGTGGTTAGCTTTGTCTCCCCTGTCCTGTGACTCCATGAGGGCTGAGGTCATATTCACCCTTGTGTGCCTGGTGCCAGGCCCTTCAGGAGGCATGCAGTGTGAGGCTCACTGAATGAATGAATGAATGGTAGGAGGAGTTGTGGCAGGACACAGGTGTCTTGCTGCCCTCCATGTAACCGAATTGAATTCCATAGAGGTACGCCCTTTCTGTGTACTAAGACCCCTCTCTGGGGCTGCTGCCCCTCAGGCACTCAGCATTGCCCCACCTATGAACAGGCAGCGAGGAACATTCTGCAGTGACCTCCTAGTCCCTGAACACTAAGCCTTAGAGATGCCAAAGCAGCCTCTGCCCTTATGGAGATTAGAATAGGAAAATAGGCAACAACATAACCATCGTCTACAGCAGTGGTCACAGAAGCCCCAAAGAGAAGATAATTGGGCTGGGCCTTTGAAGGATGAATAGGAGTTTGCCAACTGGGAGAAAGAGTACTCTAGGCATAGAAACATAAGCAGAGGCATGGCATTCGACTCAGCTCCCAGAGACTTCTTCATGATGCACATAGGATGAGAGAGTCAGGCATGAGCCTAGTTTTTTTTGTTTGTTTTTTTTGTTTTTTTTAAAGCTTATCTCCTCAGTCCTCACTTTGAGCAGTCCCCTCAGACTTCTGCTGCTTACTCTGGTGTTATAGGAAGAGTAACTACAGTGTAGCATATGATTAAGAATGTGGACTTTGGAGTCTGGCAGGGCTTGATTTAGCCTTCAGCTCAGCCGTGTGACCTTGGGCCTCTACCAGCCCAGCCCTCCCCAGCCGTGGGAACTTCCTGCCCCTCCCTGATGGTCAGCATCTCCTCCAGACAGCCATCATGTTGGCTGGCACTCCGCAGCTCTCTAGTCCTTAGCGGGGCCTGCCCTCCCCGGCTGCTGCAGTCATCCCCCAGCCCACTTGATGCTCACTGGGCTTGGTGCAGTGCAGCTCCTACCTCCCTCTCCTGCTTTTCCTTGCCCTGTGAGAATCACTGCTCCATCGGCAATGGTGTGTCTGACACGTTGAGCCAGATGAGTTGAGAGATCCCTTGTGCAGCTACTGATAATGACTTTATTAGCACAGCACTGCAGCGCCTGTCTCTGGAGCCACTAAAAGTGGGTCAGAACTCTCCAGGGGCGTGGGAGGGTCAGGTAAATGAGCCTGTTTTAAGTTCCTGGGAAAGCCATTCCAATTACAGGTGCCGTGTTCCCCCTCCCCCTGGGAAGTGCTGTCTTGCTGGCATGCGTCCTCTCTGCACAGCCCCAGAACACTGCTAAGCAATTGTATCTTAAGAGAACAGAGGCTGCCCCAGCTAGGGAATAGGGTGCCGCAAAACTGGGTCAGGCCCTTCCATGGAGTTCCAGGTTCTGAGTGGGCTGTTTCTTAGAGGGTCTGGACTAGACCTTGCACTTGGGCTAGGACAGAGGTTCTCATCTTTAAGGACTTTTGCTTAATTTCCCATCTCCCACCTCATGAGCTTCCTTTTTAAAAAGACTTTCCTTGTTAGACTCCTTATTTATTGTTTATCAAAAGATAGTATGCAGTAAATAGCAATAAAAAGCAAATGAAGCATGTTTGAAAAGGTTGATGTTTTAGTTTCTATGATGTGATGGGAAATGAAGCAATGAATCTTTTTATGTGGCCATTTGGAGACATTGGCCACAGCCTCAGGGCTCTTCATTTACCTGTACTGAATTCCTGGACAGCCACACCAGGAGCCCAGCACTTAGAGGACCCTAATGTGGGCAGGGGGCTCTGGATCACCCTGGCCTCAGCATCCCTTTGTGTTCCTCACTCTCACATTGGGTCAGAACACACTGAGTAGGGGGTCCACAGGCTGAGGGGTGCAGGGAGAGGTGGTAGGAGCTGCTGGAGATGGAATATGAATGTCCCAGATTATCTGGGATTCAAAACCTGTGGTCTGTGACCAAGGGCCTTGTGTAGTTGCCCCAGAATAACTCTGGCCATTTTATTTTTTAAATACTTTAAATTCTAAATCTGAGTTAATGTCCATTCTTAGACCCCGTTTCTTCTCAATTTTCTCCAACAGTGTTGGGACCTGGTGCAACAAACACAAAACTACCTGAAGCTGCTGCTTTCCTTAGTTAACAGCGATGGTGAGTCTGTCTCCTCCAGATCCCTCGAGCCACTGCACCCTTGGGGAGTTCCCAGTTCATTCTGCCTCAACTGTATGTTTGTTGGAGTCGCACACCTAACTTTTGCACTGTGAGAGAGGGATTTGGGGAGTTCCTAGAATCCCAGAGGCTGGGTGGGATTTGTCCATTGGTGGCTTTATTCCATGTCCTCAAAATCCTGGAAAACAAAATTAAGAACTCATTACCATCTCTGCCATGCACAGGGTATTTTCACACTGGCTCAGCATTGCTCATCAGCATTGTGTGTGGGGCCAGGATGGGCCTCTCATTCAGAAAGATGAGGCATGAGATGAGAGAATCAATCCTGGCTGCTCAGCGGATGCACACAGCCTGTAGAGGCCCTGTTCTCCAGAGTCCTCCACCCAGTTTGGCTGTTTTGATGGGATGGGCCTGGCTTGCTCAATGTCTCTAGAGCAGACGGACTCTAAATCCCTGGTAGCAATCAGGACTTCTGTAGGAGTTGCACTTGCTCAAACTAATGGAAATGCATTGGCTTATGGAACCAAGAAGGCCCAAGAACAGAGCCAGGTGAACACCATAAAGAATCTTTCTTTGTTTCTCAAAACCACTGTCTTGGCCTCATGGCTGGCAGCCATTCCAGACCTGTCTTCCGCCATCTTAGCTCCACCAGGGGAGACTGCCTCAGTCTCTGGAGTTCCAGTAAAAGTCTGAGCTCATGCTCATTGGCCCAGTTGGGGTTAAGTGCCCATCCTTGAACTAGTCACTGGAGGGAGAGTTGCCACAAAGTCACATGCCAGCCCTTGGAGCCAGGCACTGGTTCTCTAGCTGGGGGCAGTACCTACCCCTCAAAGCACTTCTGGAAATGTGTGTCTGGCATATTGGGTGCTGTAGAAACTAGAGGATGGGGAAAGTAGTACTAGCATGTGGTTGGAGTTGGCCAGGGATAGTCATTGTCCTGCAACTCATGCAGCCCTGCACACTGAAAAATTGCCCACTCCCCGCCCCCAAAAAAATACTTGTAGTGCCCTCTGAGAAACTGGGTAGGGATGTCAGCCCTGCCTAAATGACCTGCGCAAAGTGGACTGTGCAGGCTGCACTGTGTCCCCAGAAGTACACTGAGAACTATAGCCAGAAAGGAAGAAAGGAGGCTACAAAGCCAGATGCCTGCCACTCACCCAGTTCTAGGACTAGGCTGGAGAAGAGCCGTGGGGAGGCCACTGGGGAAGACAGAAACTGGTGGGGCCTGGCTCTCTCCACCAGGCCAGGGTGGTGGTACTTCCCTGCTCATCGGCCCATGTCTGATTCTCTCCTGGGCATCCTCTCCTGTGGTTCCTGAGTAGATGACAGCGGGCTGCTGGTACACTGTATCTCAGGCTGGGATCGGACCCCCCTCTTCATCTCCCTCCTGCGCCTTTCCTTATGGGCTGTGAGTATGAGTGGGCCCCTACCACGCTCTGCTCTTTGGGTGTGTTAGGATTGTCTCCAGACAGGTTGAGGCAGGGGATGCCATTGCTCAGAGCAGATGTGTTTAACCCTGTCCTTCAGGGTGTTCGTCAGCTTGCGTTGTCACTGGGTCTGGTTATGGTTTAGCTCCTGGGGACAAGAAGAGGGCTCTGTCACATCTCCTGTGGTCTCTTCCAGGATGGGCTCATCCACACGTCCCTGAAGCCCGCTGAGATCCTCTACCTCACTGTGGCCTATGACTGGTTCCTCTTTGGGTAAGCCTTTGCAGGAGTCGGGTTTTGGGGCCTTGGTAACAGTTTCTGTATGTGAGTTGTGTGGTGGCTCCCTTGACAGGGGTTGGAGGTAAGGATAATTCTACCCCTTGAGAAGGACCAAAGCTGCTGATCAGGCCCCATCTGCCATGCTGGTGCCAGTGACACAGTCTGTGTCTGGTGACCCTGTCCTCTTGGCCTTGTCATCTTGGTGCTACTGACTTTGCCTCTCCGCCCTCTTTTTTTCAGGCACATGTTGGTAGATCGGCTTAGCAAAGGGGAGGAGGTGAGTGCCACCTATGATTTGTGGGCGCAGCTCAGCACTGAAAGAGGGGCAGGGGGTGGCCTGTCTGAGTTCCATGTTTTAGGGACAGCTCCTTGCCCCAGGTATGCAGGGATGTGACCCCCTGTCCTGTCCTCCTGAGGCAGCATGGCAGGACAAGCACCCACACAGTAGCTGTCTGTTCTGGGCCTCGTGGGCCTGTGCCATGGAGATAATACAAGCCCACACGTCGGGGTGAGCAGTTACAAAGCTTCTTGGCTGCCTGTGATCTTTCCTCTCACAGGCCATTCGTTTTCTCTGCTCAGTTCTCGAACCATCTTACAAGTCTTTTCTGTGCCCCTCGTCTCTGCAGCTAAAATGCAGCAGCACTTCTCTTCCTCACCCTCCCATCACACCCTTCAGCCACTTTTCAATGTCAGGGTGCCCGGCAGCAGGGTCCTGCCCCTGATGGTTGCCTCCAGGTCCCCTCTCCTCTGGACCTGCTCTTCCTTCCTCTTCCCATGTGCTCAGTACTCTCTACCCCATACCCGTCGCCACCTCTGCGCCCCCATCCTGTCAGCCACTCTCCACAGGCCTTACCTGTTAGTGCCTGTTTTCATCACATGCAGGTCTGGAGTCGGCCCTGAGTGTGTTCCCTAGTTGGCCCCCTTACTCCCTGGGTGACCTTGGATGATGTGCTTCACCTTGAGTCTCCTGGTGTCAAGCGTGCTGCCTCACTAGGAGAATGAGTCCAGAAGCCCAGCACGGAAGCTGTCCCACAGTGCCAGCTCCTTCTCTTTGGCCACCACTCCCCCATTTTCCCAAAGTGTGTTTCTCATCTTTCTCACCCTCGTGAGGCTGCTTCCTTCCTGGGCATCTTATCTCGCGCCTCCTCCTTTTGTTCCTCCGTCTCAGCTGCTCCTCTCCCCTTCCAAATCTCTTCTTCTGAACACTTACCGCGTCTGCCAGGGCTGTAGAGCTCTAAGCCTATTCCTCAGAGGCCCCCATGAACTTCCTCAGAGGCGGTGACTTTGGCATTGAAATCAGTGCTTAAAGAAGCCTCTTTGTAGCCTCTCATTTTGGGACTTGCCCGGAGCTCCGGTACATTCTACCCTCCCTGTAATCTCCCTACCCCCACAAAGCAGACCAGATCTGCCTGCAGAGGGTGGGGCTGAGCCAAGTAGTGTCTGAGTTTGAGCCCTTGGCATCTCTCCATGTAGACAAGAGGCTGTCCTCAACTGCAGCGTTCGTCTTCAGGACCTTTCGTTTACCACCCCCGAGACAATCCAGACACTGATGTGTCCAAAGCAAAAACCCCAGGCCTATTAGTTAAACATGATTGTGTCATCTCCCCACCTCACCTTGGAGGTTCGAGGAACATATTAGCATATTAAAGACTACAAAGTCTGCAGTGAAAACACCTGTTTAATCTTATGTAACACAATATTTTCATACTGACCCGACCTGGGCAACCCTCTCCTTGTGCGGGGAAGCTCCTTGCCTGGGCACACAGAGAGAAGAAACTGACAGGGCTCGTGGGATGCCAAGTGGGGATTTCTCTGAGGGAGGGGCTCATGGGCCAGGCCTTTGGGAATCACCACAGAAACAGAAGCCTGGTGTGTGCTTCCTGGAGGCCCCTAGGCTAGGCACTGGCTGAAAGGAAGAAGATAATTGCTCATGGAGGTGGGGATATGGGTGGGGTCAGGAGCCTCCTGCCTGTGCCCATCTCAGGCTTAAGACCTGACCCTCACAGCTTCTCAGCAAGGGAGGCTCTAGACCAGACAGTGGCTGCCCACACCTCTAGGCTGCCCACACCTCTAGTTCTGAACCAGTATTTTTGGGTGCCTCTCCTAAAAAATGTGATTCCTTTGCCTTCCATTATGTTCCTGCTTTGTTCATTATTCTCCCTGTGCCCAAGTCATCTCTCCCGCAGCTGTCCTTCCCTGTTAGCGTCTCTCCCTGGGAATCTTAGAAGAGTGGAGAGGGTATCATTTCAATTTATCCTTTTTAACCACTTGAGAACACACATGTTGAATTTGACGATAGTTTGAAAAATCGCTGGCCTGACCGGGTGTGGTGGCTCACGCCTGTAATCCCAGCACTTTGGGAGGCCAAGGTGGGCGGATCACGAGGTCAGAAGATCGAGACCATCCTGGCTAACACGGTGAAACCGTGTCACTACTAAAAATACAAAAAATTAGCCAGGTGTGGTGGTGGGTGCCTGTAGTCGCAGCTACTCGGGAGGCTGAGGCAGGAGAATGGCGGGAACCCGGGAGGCGGAGCTTGCAGTGAGCCGAGATTGTGCCACTGCACTCCAGCCTGGGTGACAGAGCAAGACTCCGTCTCAAAAAACAAACAACAACAACAAAAATTGCTGGCTTAACCCTGGCAGTCCCAGGAAGGAAATCCCTTCCTGCCTTCCCCCGGTCCAAGTGCATCTGCCAGGCCCTGCCAAGGCCTCTATACCACCCACACCATTTATGGACCAGAACACCCACAGAGTCCCACAGCAGGGCCACTGTCCAGCAGGGGCCTTGACCTGAGTGGCTGGCTGCCCTCTCCTGGGAGTTCTGCCTCCTCGGTTCTTCTCATTGTGCATTGCTCTTTGGTCTCTCCTTTAGATTTTCTTCTTCTGCTTCAATTTTTTGAAGCATATTACCTCCGAGGAGTTCTCTGCTCTGAAGACCCAGAGGTAAGTGGAGGCCTGCACGTGTCATGCTGGGCCAGGGCACTTTGAGAAGGGCTGCTCTCTGGCAGGCAGAGGCTGGCCACCTCATTCCTGTCCTGCCTCCCTGCTTGTTGGGCTGGTGCTCCCTCCTGCGTTCGCTCTGAGGGCAGGGTAGCAGTCCCTGCTGAAGGCCACTGGTGAAGAGGCTCTTCTGCAGGGAAGGCCATGTTGGGGTCAACTTGGAGTCACACTAGCAGACAGGCTTTGGGACAGATGAGTGGTCTCTGATGGCCAAGAGAACAGGTGCGTTGCTGCAGGGAGAAGCCAGCCCAGGAGTAGGAGGACTCTCAACTCCCAGTGCGCTCAAGCTGACTCTTGCCCTCCATGGCCTATAGCAGAAAGTGTGGCTGAACACTGCAGCCCCCTACAAAGGGGCAGAAGGCTGCTTCCAGCCTGGGAAATGCAAGCGTCTTGGCTGGCAACTGCCTTAGGACCCCTGTGAGAGTTGGGGTCTTGCCTGAGTTGGTTTGCCTTCCTAATCCGAGCTACAAGCATGTTGGGCCGGATTTGAACGCGAACACTCAGGGCACAAGCTGATGAGGAGGATGCAGACCTTGCTGGCCTCAGAAATCTGCACCTGTGTGTTGGACAGAGCCTTGCAGCATGTGTCCCAGCAGTGGGCCTGGTGTTTTATAACACTCCCTAGGCTAGGACCCATCTCCATGAGTTGCTAGTGAGTTGAGCTGCTTTCCAGAGCAGGCAAGATTAGGAACGGGAGACAATAAAACCCCAGACAGATCTGGAATTTACTGCTCCAGTTTCTGTTTCTAGGAGGAAGAGTTTGCCAGCCCGGGATGGAGGCTTCACCCTGGAAGACATCTGCATGCTGAGTGAGTCCTGGGCCCCAACAGACTTCCCTTCCTCCATGCATCTTCCCGAGTACAGATCAGGCAGGAACTGTTCGTCCTAGGAGTTTTTTTTTTTTTTTCCCCCCAGTTATGTGGTATAGAAAAGGTGAGGGACCAGTAGTGGGAGAAGGTAACATGCTGACTGATGGCACTGGCTACTTTTAGGACGAAAGGACCGTGGCAGCACCACCAGCCTTGGCAGTGACTTCTCCCTGGTCATGGAGAATTCCCCAGGAGCCACTGGGAGCTTCACCTATGAGGCCGTGGAGTTGGTCCCAGCAGGAGCGCCGACTCAGGCAGCTTGGTAAGGGGCCAGACTGGGACCAAGGTCACTCACAGCTGTGGCCCAGGGCCATCAGCACCAGGGAGTCAGGCTGGAGCCCCGAGAACAAAGGGGGCCCCCAACAGAAGAGCTGAGAAGATAGCTCTGTGCTCCTGCTGTCTCTACTGGGCCTCGGAAGCCAGCCATCTGGTTGGTGAAGGGCACTGCCTGTGGTGGCCCAGGAGCATAAAGGGCTAGGGCTCCCTGTGGGACAGAGAAGCGGCTGGGCAGGGTAGGGCAGGGGGGTGCTGGGAGGCTGGTATTAGAGGAGCTCCATTGTATCATTTGTTGGGGAGATAGGGGGCCATTTTGGAAAAAGAAAACCAAAAAGGTGGGTATAAGATGATAGGGAATTGGGAACTTGTTTGAAGGTCAGCTCCTTTGAGAATTTCATGAAATTGAGACCCTGATGACTTTCACCATAGACATATGGCTCAAGATGTTGTATAGCACAGTCCTGAGTGGTGGCTCATATTTATAATCCCAGCACTTTGGGAGGCCAAGGCAGGAGGATCACTTGAGCCCAGGAGTTCGAGATCAGTCTGGGCAGCATAATAAGACCCTGTCTCTTAGGGGGAAAAAAAGAAGGAAAAAAAAAGATTTTGCATAACATATGGAGGTGGGCAGTGACTGAACAGTGAGGAATCATTTTCTAGCACATACTTCGAGGCCAGTAGGCTGGTGTGATTTGGATGCCATAGACCCTCCATAAAGACCCAGCCCTGCTACCCATGGCCCTGAGCTGGAGAGAGTGCTAATGTTTACCCACTCCTATGTGACGTTTTCCCAGTGGAAGTAAAGCCTGGGCCTGAAATTCAGTGAGGGTGGGCAGAGGGCTTTGCCTGCAGTGGCCCCTGGCTCACAGCCCTGCTCCTTCCACTGCAGGAGGAAGAGCCACTCATCCTCTCCACAGAGTGTCCTCTGGAACCGGCCACAACCCTCAGAGGACCGCTTGCCTTCCCACCAGGGGCTGGTGGAAGCCAGGTCTTCCAGCTCCTCATCCTCAAACCATTCTGATAACTTTTTCAGGATGGGTAGCAGTCCCCTGGAGGTCCCCAAACCCAGGTGAGGAGCTCCAAAGCCCTTGCTGTTGGAAGTGGCTAGCTTTCCCCCTTAATAAGACTGGAGGGTCGGGGGCCCAGCACCTGAGCTAGGGTCTCAAGATGGGGTTTCTAAGCTTGCAGGCCCAGTATTTGGAGGATGGGTTAGTGTTTGGTAATAAAGCAAGGGCTGATTTGTAGAGTGGTTTGAGACTCCTTCCTTGAACCCTAGCAGAATGCAGGGGAACCCAGAAGTGCTGTGGCTGTGATGTGATGGTGGGGAATAGGGACTGCCTCCACTTGTTACCTTTGGCAGATCCCAGCCCCCTAGGCGCACCTCCCATTGTGATTGAAGAGATGGATCTAGATTCTGAGTCCCTTCTGGCTCTCACATCTCAAGTCTGAATTGGTGGAGCAGTGAGAACAGATGTTAGGGAGATGAGCTACATGTGTGTGGCTGGGACAAACGGTGGTGACTGCACACCTGGAAAGGGAGCAGCTCAGCCAGGATGGCCGTGCCAGGGCTGTGGCTGAAGGGTGCTGCAGGAATGTTGCTTTCTGGGTGAGTTTAGAGCTGAGCACGGGCCAGAGGCTAGGACTGAGGATTGGTCTGGCACTTCGGAAAAGCATTTCCTACCACTTTTTCCACTTCATACTCCCGTCAAAAGAATCCTGTAAATTGCTTTGTTTTCTAAAGCTTTGAGAATGTCTCGCCTTTCTGGAGCGAATAAAGCAGTGTGGGACTTCAGGACCTTAGTGAATTCCAGGGAGAAAGGGGCATTTAGAAGAATGGGCATGAGCTTTGGAGTCCATCCCAGATTCAAGTCAAGCTCTGCCACATCACATCCATGTGATTTTCAGACTCAGTTTCGTCCTTGGTAGTAATAGGTCTGTTAAGAAGAAAAACGTTCTGAAACTTCTGGAACCCTCCTCCCATCACCCCTCTATGATTTTTTCCTCTGGGCAAAAACAGGCAATGAAGGAATATGGGGAAGAACATCCTCTGCACGTAGGCAGAGCAGATAAGCGGGAGTGGGTGTTCCAGACTGCACTGCCCACAGGGGCCCTGTGTGCTCACTCCTGAGTGAGCTCTTCAGCTCAGAACACTGCCTGAGTGCTGGAGCTGAGTCTGTGAAACCACGGCCACACGCTGTCTGGCCCCATAGGAGGTGTCTTGGAAGTGGTGGGGCAGAGACGGGGCCAGACAGACAAGCCCATGTGCTGGTGCCCCGTCCCATCCTCTGTGTGCATGCCTGCTGCCGCATCACTCTTGTCTGCACCCAGCTGTCTTCAGGGCCACTCTGGGGCTGCAGTGGCACTGTGTGACCCTCACTGTTCCAGGCTGTGGCTTTAGGTCATGGTCCCTGCGTCCTTTTCTGCCTGTGCAGCATTGCTGAACTACTAGGGAGGAAACCAGAAGGTTCCTCTTGTCCTCTGGGTCCTGCCTCAGTCTTAACTGCCCAGACTGCAGTGAGCTCCCAAGTTGAGGCAGCACCCCATCACCCATTACCACACCCTAGCTCGCCATCTCCTGCCTGCCAAAAAATAGCACTTTGCAATCTTGTGATAGTGTCCCTCAGTCTCACAAGTGACTTTCTGCTTGCAGGACGTGGCTCAGGCTCTTGTGGCCAGTCAGGATGGCCACCAAGGCCCTCTCTTGGGAGGCTGAGGAGGATAAAGGTTGTCCTCCTGACCTCAGAGCCCTGCACACTGGGACTTGGCCAAACTTGGGATAGCTGGACCAAGATGGGTGCAAGGCTTTGAAAGGCATGGGGTGGGCAACTGTGAGGTGTTTGATCCTTCTGCTGGTCTGTTTGGGGGAGGCCTGTCTGGAGTCAGGCTTCTTCTGACTTGGATGCCTATTGGTCAGAGGTTTTGAAAGTCTAGATTATTCAGATTTGGAGCCTTCTAATTATATATTTCCATTACCATTAAAATTAATTTAGTATCTTAAAGTGCCTAAGGGATTAGCTTCCCTGCCTCTTAGGTAACAATAGCCAGGTCTTTAATGTGTTAGGAGAAGCTGTATGGAAAGAAACCTTTTAGTGAAGCTGTCTGTGACAACCAAAATTCTTCTAATGTGAATTCTTTGGGTTTTTATATGCTCCAAATTCTACAGGCATCTCTCTTTTAAAGCAGGATTCCCCCGTGGAATGAATCTGTGAAGCTTTGTTCAAAGTTAAGTAGTAGGTATGAATCAGGTTGGGAAGAAAGTTCTGTGGGGTGCCAATTCTTACTAACCCCCAGCCCATACCCCTTATTGGCAAGCCTGGTGGTTTTTAATCATTGTTAGCTGTTGCTGCAGCAGCTTCTGATTAAGCTGCATTTCTGGACCATTGTTAAATCTCTCCATCAGTGACAGGGTTGAGGGCTGAGATGGGCCGGGACCAATGTTCTGCGCTCACATGCCTCCCCCACCTCTGGTTAGCAGGTCGCTACCTTGCATGGCCTTGGCCTCTGCTCTGGAGTCACACATCCTTTAGGAGTAGGGGGGTTGCTAGCACAGCATTATCCATGCCCAAGGAGGGATGGTGCCACCACTGAGCCCAGCTTGAAGCCAGGCTACCTGAAGAGCAGATGAAGTTTGCTGGGGGATGCCCAGCAGCCTGGTTGAATAGCTGAGTAGCAACGCAGGGACCAACCTATGCTGCCCGGTTAGCTACTCTTCCCCCAACCTCCACCACCTGCTAACTACTCTTGAGCAACTAGCTCTGTCCTAGGCTGTCTGCTTGTGGGTGGGAGCAGGGTAAGTTTAGATTAGGTGACAGCCAGGTCCCCTCAGAACCCAGGATTCTATATCTTAGTTCAAGTACTAACTGTGTGTGACTTCATGACATATCACTTGATGACTTTCGGTTTCCATTTTCTTATCTGTGTAATCAGAGGCTTAGGTAATTCCAAGGTCCTTCCTAGCTGTACACCTTCAAACCTCCTGTATCAGCCTTGTCAGATATTTTCAAATGCAAGTAAAAGAAAACACATCTCACTGACTGAAACAGTAAAGGAAACACATTTACAGTCAGCCCTCCATATCTGCAGGTTCCACATCCATGATCAGCCAACCAGATTGAAAACATTCAAGATAACATAAACAATAGAAAGTAATACAATGAACATGCAGTATAACAACCGTGTACAGAGTATTGACATTGTATCAGATAATCTAGAGATGATTTAAAGCATATGGGAGGATATGCATAGGTTATATGCAAATACAAGTGACCTTGAACAATGCAGGGATTAGGGCTGTCCCTCACCCCATTCAGTTGAAATCTGTATATAACTCTGACTCCTCAAAAACTACAGATAGCCTGCTGTTGACTAGAAGCCTTACCAATAACATAAAGTCAGTTAACACATATTTTATGTGTTATCTCTATTATATACTGTATTCTTAGGTAAGCTAGAGGAAAATAAAATGTTAAGAAAATCATAAGGAAGAGAAACTGTATTTCCTGTGTGTTCAGTAGAAGTGGATCATAAGGGTCTTCTTGCTGAGGAGGCTGAGGAGAAAGTGGAGGGAGGGGTTGTCTTGCTGTGTAGGGCAGCAGAGGCAGGAGATAATCTGCATATGAGTGGACCCATGCAGTTCATGTGTGTTGTTCAAGGATCAGCTGTGCTACTACATTTTATGTAAGGGATTTGAGCATCCAAGGACTTTGGTATTGGTGGGGTGGTAAGTGGGTGGTGATCCTAGAACCAATCCCCTGTGATAAAAAGGAATAACAAGGAACAACTGTATATAGAAAAGCCTAGTGGAAAATCAGTCTTCCAGTGCAGCCTGATCAAGGTTCCAGCTCTATTTCCCTGTAGTTTGTTCCCATTGCCTCCTTCTGCATGTTAGCTTTGTTCTCTGGCCAGCTTCCCTAATGGTGGCAAAATGGTTGACAGCAGCTCCCAGGATGACATGCTGCTTCCTTTCTCACATCCAGGGGTCACATGAGAGCCTCTTTTTTTCAGTTATAGGTAGAAGCTGTGTGCTTTACTCCCATTGGAGGTTATGTGGTGGTCCATGAACCGATTTCTGAGGTGCCCACCCCTTATCAGGAAGAAAGATGAGTGTATTATTGCAAGGGCTTTGGTCAGACCTGGGTTTCAGTCGTAGCTTTGCAGTCCTAGCTGTCTGACTCGGAAAAATCACATCCCTTCTGAGCTCAGTTATTTTATCCTGTTTTTAAAGGGGGAAAAATGATTCAAGCCCCCGTAAGTTTGGGTTAAAATGAAATAATGGGTTGGACTTGATGGCTCATGCCTGTAATCCAGCACTTTGGGAGGCCAAGGTCAGATTATCGTTTGAACCCAGGAATTTAAGACTAAGCTGAGCACCATAGTGAGACCCTGCCAATACAAAAGATAGATTAGATAGATAGATTGGATGGATGGCTAGACAGATAGATGGATTGGACTGGATTGGGATGGATTGGGATGGATTAAATACTCATAGTAGATACCTTTTTACCAATGCCCAGCAAACAGTAGCTGTGGTTAAGGATTTGGCCTTATCAGTCATTTGTCTGAGAGCCTGTAGGCCCTGTCATGGCACTAGGCAGCTGCATAAAAGGCCAGGCCCACATCCCGACCTGTGTGTTCTTGCCTGGGTTGAGCCAGCTCGTTTTGTGTGAGTATTCTTGTACCCGCTTCCAGAAAGGACTAGCTAAAAGACACCTGCTCTGAGTTGGCTGTCAGTAGGGCATCTGGGGAGGTGGGAGCCTGTAGCAACTACAGCTCTGGGTGCTATGAAGAGGGCCCTGAGCTGCATCCCACTAAGGAAGTGAAATGTTGCTGAGCTCCCACCCTCCTAGGCAGAGGTCCGAGCTGCTGGGATGTGGACAGGTGACCTCTGAAGCGTTGTCAGCTCCACCACCATCCAGTTTGAGGGTTGCTTGGTCCCATGTTCTCTCCAGTTGTGTAGTGGGAGAGCAGAGGGGGTGGAGATTGGACCACTCTGTTTGCTGCTCAGGGCAAAAGGGTTTGGGCTCTTGTTGAAGCTGGTTAAGTTACCTGTGTTCTTAGACTGACTGGAAGGCTTTTCCTCTCTTCTCAGTATATGGGCACAGGTCCTTACTCCCGGTGACATGACCCACTGTAGATGTACCCTGCAGCCGGCTAATCCATGGTGGTATTTGTGGACACTTTCCTGCTTAGCATGGCCCTTTGCCCTCAACCCCAGGAGCTGAATGGTCACTTTGTAGCCCTTCCTTTGACAAAGGCCTCGTGTAGGAAAACTCCTTTGTAGCCAGTGTGCTCACTCTTGAAAAATCCCAGAGTCTGCAGAAGATGGCTGCCTGCTGAGAGATGCTTCTCTCCCCTGGGATCACACACACTGCTGCTGTCTGTGCTGCCTAATCCATCCAACAGCTGCTCCAAATGCAGTTCTTGGCCGATGTTACCTGCTGGGACATGGGGGAAGTAAAGGGAAGTGACTAGCCCAGGGGACCTGGAATCCTTGAGGGGAGCCAGTCAGTAACTCCCTCCCATTGGCCATGTTTCCCTTGCCAGTGTTACTCTTTGGCTCTGGGGCAGCGGTTTTGGGGCCTGAGAAACTTCCCCATGCTCCTGGCCCCAGCTGTGCCTCGTCCTAGTCAGCATCCCTTCCATTCCCTCAACATTCTGGGTTTTAGCTGTTGTTTTCCCACAAGCTACTAAAACTGGAAAAGATTCTACCCTGCAGCTTGAACAATAGATGAGATTTGTGGAGCTAGGATGCGCCTCAGGGTTGTGCCGGCTGAAGGCCTAGTGTGACCTGGAGGAGGCACAGGGCAGGCTGCTCCTGGGGAGCTGTCTCTTTGATTTACAGACTGCCTGAGCCCAAGTTTCTCCATCTAGAAACAAGGAAGCCCTGCTCTGTCGGGCCCTAGGGGCTTCTGTCAGGTGACAGACCATGTCCTGTTCTCATCCCTAATGCTGCCATCACGCACCTTCTAGAGTTTAGCAGGAATGATGAATGTGGTAAGTCTGTATGTTGTAGGGGGTTCCGATTTATGGCAGCCTTAACATAGAAAACCATCTGTTTTTCCTGGTCCCAAGGTGGTTCTGTTTCAGGACAAATGTGCAGTCATTCTTGGTTTTAAAAATCTCTTCTCAGCTGGGTGCAGTGGCTCATGCCTGTAATCCCAGCACTTTGGGAGGCCGAGGTGGGCAGATCACCAGAGATCAGGAGTTCAAGACCAGCCTGGCCAACATGGTGAAACCCCATCTCTACTAAAAATACACACAAAAAAATTAGCTGGGCATGGTGGTGGGCGTCTGTATTCCCAGATACTTGGGGTTACAGTTGGGAGGCTGAGGCAGGAGAATTGCTTGAACCCAGGAGGCAGAGGTTGCAGTGAGCCTAGATCACGCCATTGCACTCCAGCCTGGGCGACAAGACTGGAAAAACAAAAACCTCTTCTCACACTCCCTAGCTGTGATACATCAGGCAAGTATCTTCACCTGTCTTACAGATGGAGATGGTTAAGGATTGCCAGAGTTGCAGTGCCTGGCCAGCTGCACTCCAGTGGCAGCTGCTTGGGGATAAGACTGGCCCAGTGACCAGTTGGGCTGTCATCTCAGACTAGGAGCCCTTGACACCAGCCAGCTGGGGGAGCCAAGGCCAGTGAATGTTTTTCTCCACTCCCAATCCCTGCTCTTCATTCCTGTTTCTGGGTCCCTACTTGAACACCTCCTGCTGTTTTTGGATGAAAGAATAAAGGGTCAGGCATCAAAGATGATGTCCCTCTGGGGACTGGGACCTGGGGTAGCAGGTGGAAGGGCCTTGTTTGATGTCTCCCTATCTCCTCCCTCACCCGCACTGGCTGGACTACTGCCCAGGACAGAAGAGAGGGGTTGGCTGAGTAGGGAGGAGGCGGAAGCAGTAGATTCCCAGCACAACTTTCTTCCTCCCACCCCCCAAACCTCCATCTGAAGAAGGCCTGATGAAGCTGTCAGGCTGCCTGCCTGATTCATCCCTTCCCTCTGGGCATAGCCACTGAGTCTGTTGGGCTGGGCTGATGCTTCTGAATACAAACTATGGCACTTGGAAGGCACTGCAGAGAAAGGGGGGACTTCAGGACTCCCATTCCATCACTCTTCAGTCTAGGTCATACCCTCCACAATCCCCAAGAGGCCTGTTCTGTCTCTCCTGATGGGACTCCTGGGTTCTGTGTTGCCCACCCTGCAAATCTGCATGCCAGGAAGCATGGGTGACCCGGCTGCTGGTACACCTTCATTTGGGTGCTAGCCTTGCTCCCTTCATTTGGTGCTGTTGAGATTGTCCTTGCCATATTTGCTCCCAGCACAGGCAAGCCCTGGCCCCAGGCTGTGGCTCCGATTCACTCTTACTGCCATGCTTTGTTCTCGTTTTTTGCTTCCACAGTAAGTCTGCACAAAGTACTGTCCTCACAGCTGAGCTTACCTGGTGATCTGTTCTTTTTTGTTGGTCACTACTTGTCCAGCTTTTTTTTTTTAGACTTTTGGAGACGGTGATTGACAACAGAACCTAGCAGCCAGGGCCGTGCTAGCCCCCCAGTCCCCTCCAGAGCCTGTGTCAGGCATATGACTGACTGCATCCTCTCCCCTCTCTCTCCTCTCTGCCCCAGATCAGTGGACCATCCCCTGCCCGGATCCTCTCTCTCCACAGACTATGGCAGCTGGCAGATGGTAACGGGCTGTGGCAGTATTCAGGAGCGGGCTGTCCTGCACACAGACTCCTCTCTCCCTTTCAGCTTCCCGGATGAGCTCCCTAGCAGTTGTCTGTAAGTGTCTTGCTTGAGAAGGCAGGATACTCCCCTGCCCATGTGAAAAGCTGGTGAGCAGTCAGGAGTGCTGGGTAGGAATGAGGCAGAGGCTGGCGCTTGGGAGCTGGCCTGGCCTCCTCCCCCTCCCCTCTCAGCTGCTGAACCTGAGGTATGAAGGAGGCCTGTGGCTGGTCAGGAAGTGCACTGGTTTGTGTGTTCACTCTGCAGCCTCTAAAAACCATCCACTGGTGTCTCAGGTGCACCCAGAGGGAAAGCTGCTGGACTGTAACTATAGAAGATTCTATTTCTGTATAAGCCTTTGCCTGACATGAGAATCGTTTGAAGGCAGAACAGTAGGATAGTGAAGGTAGGTGTATGGTGGAGGCCAGAGCCAGAGTGGTGCTGGGTTAGCCCAAAGCTGTGCTCCTGAGCAGAATCTAGGGTGACTTGCCGTCTCTACCCACCTTGTCTTCTGTTTTTGCCTCTGGGCAGGAATAAGAATTGGATGGGGATTCTAGATCCCACACCTACAAAACCCTGAGTTTCCAGCCCCTACAATGTGTCCACCTGACTGGAGCCGCTGCCTCTGGGGAAACCACCTGCCCCTGGCCTGTTCTGCCGCTTCATGGATGTCAGGCAGGAGAAAGCCTCCGGTGGCCGGGGGAGCAAGACCTGCTCCTCAGCTGTGGTGCCTGAAGGCCCCTCAGCAAGCCTTCCCTTCACCTCCATACCATGGGCTGGATGAATGGCACATGCTGGGGCCTCACCGCCAGCACCGCAATCCAGCTTATCCCCACCCATGTTGGTGGGTTGGAAGCAAGGTGCCTTGCGGAGTTGGGAAGGGAAAGGGGGCCCTAGATCCTAGCTGAGGGCAGTCAGGAGCCAGTCAGACCTTGAAATTCCAGGATGGCACAGGTCCTGGCCCTGCAGCTGTGAAGTCACCAAAGAGCTTCTGAGGTCACTGTGCCTGGCACAGCCTCCTCTGCGGCCAGCCCCTAGGCCAGAAACAAGATCTCTTCGATTTTTGAAGGTTAAATATAAAAAAATTGCAGGCCGGGTGTGGTGGCTTATGCCTGTAATCCCATCACTTTGGGAGGCCGAGGCGGGCAGATCACCTAACGTCAGGAGTTCGAGACCAACCTGACCAACATGGAGAAACCCCGTCTCTACTAAAATTAAAAAATTAGCTGGGCGAGGTGGTGCATTCCTGTAATCCCAGCTACTCGAGAGGCTGAGGCAGGAGAATCGCTTGAACCCAGGAAGTGGAGGTTGTGGTGAGCCAAGATCGTGCCATTGCACTCCAGCCTGGGCAACAAGAGCGAACCTCTCAAAAAAAAAAAAAAAAAAAAATTGCACCTTTCTGTAGAGACTTCCTACTCCAGCCCCGTTTGCCCAAAAGCCATCTCTGAAGGAAGCACAGATATCCCTGCTTGATAGCACCCCTCACTTACCTGGGGTCAGCCACTGAAACTGGCAACTCCAGCCCCAGATCACCCACCCTACAACCTACTAAATTTAGGCCCCAGGCAGCACTGCAGGCTCCTAGCCAACCCTTTAGTTCTGGGAGGTTCTCAGAGGAGGGCTGGATTCTGTATGATCTCAAGGCCTCCAAGATTGTGGGATGCGGTCAGAGTTGATTCCTGTGAAGCCGTGTAGCATGTGGGTGCAGCACTTGGGCTTTGGTATCAGAGAAACTTAAGTCCAAATCCTAGCTGCTCTATTCACCAGCTGTATCTTCGAGTGTCAGCCTTGCCTTTTCTGAACCTGTTAGCTCATCTCTCAAGAAGGAGTGGCACTGCAGTACCTCCCTTGACTGGTATGTGTCCTTAAATGGATCACATAGCCTCTCGTTTTCTCGTCTCTCAGGAGGTTGTGGTCTCTGTCCCTTCCATCTCAGAAATGGGCAGCCCAGCCGTGGCGGGGGCTGGGGGGAGGGGGCAGGGCAGTGAGAATGCTCATGTATGGATCTTTGGATGTTCCCTGTGAGTGTAAACTAATTGGTCTCTTTCTCCTTCGTATGCTGTAAGGAGAAGCTAAGGCAAGCATGCATGGCCTTTGGCCTGTGTGAAATTAGAAAGTAAAAAGATCTTGGGCCATGCTTCTCCCCCAGGTACCAGGAGAGACTTCAAGATTGTTCATGGTAGTGCAGGAATCCGGTCTCAGCTCCATGTTCTTAGTGCTGCTGCAGGAGCAATTTGACTTTTCTTTGCCCAGAGCCTACTGCTTCCATCTCTCACGTTTCACTCCCACAGATCTGCTTTCCCTTGAGTCCTGTCTATCTCCGCACTTACTTACCTCAGGACTGTCATTTATCCTCAGACACCCCTCTGCTCCCACAAGCCCTGGGTACAAGTCATTGAGGCTTTGGGATTGGGTTCACTTCAGCTGCCTCTGACAGATTTCCAGGGAGGGACTGTCCAGGCATTGGTTTCTTGGGGGCGGATTTGGAGCAAGATTAGTAGGCATGGCTGGTCTTAGTATTTAGATGAGGGCTCTTCTCATGTAGGTCTGTGACCCCTAGAGAGGGCCCTCCAGGGACCCATCGGGGGAACACCATGTGAGTACTTGACCTTTGAGTCGAGTCCACGGGCCTCTTCTATTAAAGGCCCTTGGGGATGTCACACAGCCTCATGTGGAGTCACACTTTGATAAGCCTGAGTTGTGTGCACTTGTTTCCCTTCTTGACTTGTAATTTCAAGGTAAGGAAAGAAGAGGGGCTTTCATCTGTGATCAGAGCCTACAGAGGCCAAGAAAGGAATGGGGGATAGAATCAGAACACAGATCTTTCTGGAAAAGCAAGCACCCTTTCAGCTGTTTACCTGGGAACCACAGTGACGGAAAGTGTAGCTAAAGCCCTAGAGGTTTCCAGTGGGGAACCCTGCCCTCAACCCAGCAGACAGTGGGTTCTTCCAGGGCAGTACCTTCCTCCTAAGATGCGACATGTCTACGCCTCAAGGCTGAGGCCTTTTTCTTTCCTTTTTTTTTTTTTTTTTTTTGAGACAGAGTCTCGCTCTGTCGCCCAGGCTGGAGTGCAGTGGCGCAATCTGGGCTCACTGCAAGCTCCGCCTCCTGGGTTTACGCCATTCTCCTGCCTCAGCCTCCCGAGTAGCTGGGACTACAGGCGCCCGCCACATCGCCCGGCTAGTTTTTTGTATTTTTTTTTTTTAGTAGAGACGGGGTTTCACTGTGTTAGCCAGGATGATCTCGATCTCCTGACCTCGTGATCCGCCCGTCTCGGCCTCCCAAAGTGCTGGGATTACAGGCTTGAGCCACCGCGCCCGGCCTCTTTTTTTTTTTTTTAAGACACAGTCTTACTCTGTTGCCCAGGCTGGAGTGCAGTGGTGCAATCTGGCTCACTGTAACCTCTGCCTCCGGGGATCAAGCAATTCTCCTGCCTTCAGCCTCCCAAATAGCTGGGATTACAGGCACATGCCACCATGCCTGGTTAATTTTTGTATTTTTTTTTTTTTTTTTTTTTGAGACTGAGTCTGGCTCTGTCGCCCAGGCTGGAGTGCAGTGGCCGGATCTCAGCTCACTGCAAGCTCCGCCTCCCGGGTTTACGCCATTCTCCTGCCTCAGCCTCCTGAGTAGCTGGGACCACAGGCGCCCGCCACCTCGCCCGGCTAGTTTTTTGTATTTTTTAGTAGAGACGGGGTTTCACCATGTTAGCCAGGATGGTCTCGATCTCCTGACCTTGTGATCCGCCCGTCTCAGCCTCCCAAAGTGCTGGGATTACAGGCTTGAGCCACCGTGCCCGGGTTAATTTTTGTATTTTTAGTACAGACGGTTTTGCCATGTTGGCCAGGCTGGTCTCGAACTCGACCTGCCTCGGCCTTCCAAAGTGCTGGGATTACAGGCGTAAGCCACCACACCCGGCCAAGGCTGAGGCCTTTCAACAGCTGTGGCCTGCTGCCAGATTTCAGGGGCCTCCTTACTGTTAGGTATAAAACTTCATGCCTCAGCTTGCCCTTCCCAAGGAGTGGAAGCAGAGAGCTGCTGGGGCAAATTCCCTCCTGCTTAGCTACCCTCCTTCCAAGTGATCGCAAAGAAAGTTATTTTCACAACAGGTCAGGTCAGGCCAGGCACAGTTGCTCACGCCTGTAATCCCAGCACTGTGGGAGGCCAAGGCAGGCAGATCAGTTGAATCCAGAAGTTTGAGACCAGCCTGGGCAACATGGTAAAACCCCATCATGGTGACATGTGCCTGTAGTCCCAGCTACTTGAGGGGCTGAGGCGGGAGGATGGCTTGAGCCCGGGAGGTTGAGGCTATAGTGAGCCCTGATTGTGCCACTGCACTCCAGCTTGGGCAATAGAGTGAGACCTTGTCTCAAGAAAAAAAAAAAAAAGGTTAGTGTCCCAGTAAAAGCTCCTGTTCTAGGTGGGAACAGTAGCCTGAGGGCTTTGAGAAATGGTTTAAGGGAAAACAGGGCCAGATATCTGGGGCCTGAACCACAAGGATAGCATGGCCATAAGACAGACACTGGATTTGTCCAGTCAGAAGCACAAGGACAGGTGGTGTGGAGGGAGGATGCTGGGTCCTGTCCCAGGGTAATGTCTTTGTTCTTTCTCTTTCCCTCCCCATAGGCTTGCAGCCCTGAGTGATCGAGAGACTCGGCTGCAGGAGGTGCGCTCAGCCTTCTTGGCTGCGTACAGCAGCACGGTGGGGCTTCGGGCAGTAGCCCCCAGTCCCTCTGGTGCCATCGGGGGCCTGCTGGAGCAGTTTGCCCGTGGTGTCGGACTCCGGGGCATCAGCAGCAATGCCTTGTGAAGAAGCCAGCCCATGACAGTTTCCTGCTCCTCTCTCAGCTGAGCCCTTAGCAGAATCAAAGCCATGCCTGGCCAAAGGGGTACTTCCAGGTCAGGGGAAATTTCACTCCCCCATCTCCATCATGTACATGGCAGCCCCAAAGCTGAGCAAGGCCAAAGACAGGGTTTTCCAATCCCCAGCCTCTTGACTGGTGACCACCACCCCTTCTTGTCACTGTCTCCCACCCACCCCGTCTTTGCTGGGATTCCCATCAACTCTCAGAACTGTGTGGGGTTTCCCTGGGGCCTTGTGGAAGCCATGACTTCACAAAGACCCTACCTCTCAATTCTTGTTTCCTGGGGAGGAGGGATCACCTGCACTGAGAATGAGGCAGTTTGACACAGATCACAAAATAAAATCAAAGTCTTTTTAAACAGCCACTCGTGTCCTCATTTGGTTATTGTCTTTGTGGAGCTATTAGGAAGGTTATCATTGTCCTTTTTGCTGGACAAGGGGTGTTTAAGTGGAGGACAGGTGAAACAGGAAGAGAACTGGCGACAGGTGTACCTCTCCACTCGTGAGCCATGGTAGTCCTGCAGTGGGGACAATACTTAACACTGTTGAGAGTAGTGGTTCTCGGGCCTAAGCAGGTCCTAGTCACCTAGGGAGCCTGATTAGCTCTGCACATTCCCAGGGCTGCCTGAGTTTTAGCCTTTGGGTTGCTAAGGAAGTTGCCTGGGAATTAGGAGCTGGAGGATCTTCTTTTTTTTTTTTTTTTTTTTTTTTGAGATGGAGTCTCACTGTCATCCAAGCTGGAGTGCAGTGGCACAATCTTGGCTCACTGCAACCCCTGCCTCCTGGGTTCAAGCGATCCTCCTGCCTCAGCCTCCCGAGTAGCTGCGTGAACATGCCACCGTCCCCAGCTAATTTTTGTATTTTTAGTAGAGATGGGGTTTCACCATGTTGGCCAGGCCAGTCTCAAACTCCTGAGCTCAAGTGATCTGCCTGCCTCGGCCTCCTAAAGTGCTGGGATTACAGGCATGAGCCACCGCACCCGACCAGGATCTTCATCTTTAACAAGTTCTGTAGGCAGCATGGTCCTGGTACAAGTGACCTACAGCCCTTACCTTGAGGCCTGCCTATGGAGGAGGGACTGGCTTCTGAAGCTTTGGAGATAGCAATTGGTGTGCATGTGGTGGGGGAGAGCCTGGCTGACCACCACTCTCTTCTACAGTGTGGCCTACAGTAGATTGCATCATGAGAGTGTGTCCACATCTGTAATGCCATGAAAGTTGTGAGGGTTTAAAGGCATGGGCAGACAGCTTTGCACGGTGCTTAACAGCCACCATTTACTGTCATCAATGTGAATACCCAGAGGACAAATCATAAATACCAGTGAATGTTGAGCACTTGCTGTGTGCTAAGTGCTTTCCTTGGGTTATCTCAGTAAAATTTTACAGCACCTAAAGTAGCTGCTGTTAAGGGCCTTTCTAACGGTCTTTCATGGTCAAGCCACAGAGATGTTGAGTAACTTGTCCAAGGTCACACAGCTAATAAGAGACGTACTTTTCCTATTCAGAGACCTAGGCAGGCTGGGAATGGGAAAGGGCAGAAACACTAAGGGAGTGGCTCAGTAAGAGGCAACAATTCCAACGCCCACCAGGTGCCCCAAATGCTTCAGCATCATGGGCAACTCTAGGGGGCTTGGGTTTCCACCCCAGAGAGTTGGCAGGGTGGACTCTACCAAGGTGTGGATTGGAGTTGGGGGTCGAGGTGAGGTTCCCCGCTGGCTCCAGGCTGCTCCAATGGGGCGGGGGCCGCCCGCAGGGCCGGGCGGGGCTGTACTGCCATCTGGAGCCGCTGCCGCCGGCGGCCACTGTCAGGGCACGAGCGGCGGGAGCGCACGCAGGGCTGGAGGGAGTGCAGCCGCCGCCGCCGCCGCCGCCACCGCCACCGCGGCACATGGGCCGGCCCCGCCGCTGCCGTCGCCCCTAGCCCCAGCAGCCCTGGTCTCGCAGCCTCCTGCGGCTCGGGTCGCCCGACCAGCCATGTCTCTCGGCGGAGCCTCCGAGCGCAGCGTCCCGGCCACCAAGATTGAAATTACCGTGTCCTGCCGGTGAGCGAGCCGTGCTGGGGAGGGCTTAGGCACTGGCACTGCCCCAGCCCCAGCCAGACGCGGGGCTCAGCCCGGGCAGGGGCTAGACCCCCAGGGGAGAGGCGAAATTGGCTGGAAAATCACAACTGATGACAGGGGAGTTGCTGGTGGGATCGAGAAGGTGGGGGGGGGGTCTTCTTGGGCAGCCCCACCCTGAAAAAAGGGCTCAGCCTGCGGGTTCAGGGGGTGGGTTGCAGGTATCCGGTAGGAGCTCGGCCCCAAGAGGACAAAGTTCTGGGGCAAGCCCTCTTTCCTGGGCCCTTGGAGACAGTGTGGGTGCGTTCGCGTCCAGTCCGCAGAGCCACGGTTCCTGGACAGCGATTTCCGGTGCTGTCCAGAGTGCTGACAGCGCGGACCCCAGCTGGGGGTAGTCATGGGGGACAGAGGTTTGATGCGGGCCCCATACCTCCCCTCAGTGCCCGGCTCAGAGCTGACTCGAAGCGGGCGGGCTTCAGGATGATCCACTCTGTCTGTCTGTTGCTTTTCTCTAGGAACCTGCTAGACCTTGATACCTTCTCCAAGTCCGACCCCAGTAGGCGGCTCCAGGACCGGGAGGGGGAACTTGGGGTCTGGGCGCGACTCAGGGGCGGGTGGAGTCGGGGCCAGGGGTGCAAGCCGACCTCACGTCCTTCCCTCCCCGCCCCCACCTGCAGTGGTGGTGCTTTACACGCAGAGCCGGGCCAGCCAGGAGTGGCGGGAGGTGAGTCCCAGAGCCCCCTCCGGCCCAGGGCGTCGCCCGGGAATCCCCTGGGCGTCTGCACGTCCCACGCTGACCCTCCATCCCCCTACCCAGTTCGGACGGACCGAGGTGATCGATAACACGCTGAACCCAGACTTCGTGCGCAAATTCGTCCTCGACTATTTCTTTGAGGAAAAGCAAAATCTGCGCTTCGATGTGTGAGGCCCCGCCTGGAATTCTGGCTTGGCCCGCCCCCGACCTGGATCCGCCCGGAATTCTGGCTGGCCCCACCCCGCCTCGCCTCCCGGCCTGGTTCTTCCCGCAGGCCTCCCTCCCATTCTGAATGGCCCCCTCTAGCCTGAGTCCTGCCCTTCTGTGAGATGCGGTCCAGTTCCGTCCCCCGCTCTGGCCCCGCCCACAACTCTGCTCCTATCGCAGTTCCACCTCAGGCCCGACCCCTTCCAGACAACCCTGCCCCCAGCAGCCCCTGATTTGGCCTCGGCCCAGGCTTGACCCTTTTACTCCTCGGCCCACCCTGACTCCTCCCCCAAAGGAGACCAAAGCTGAATTCGGGTCCACAGCCACCCATCCCGCCACCCAAAATTTTCACCAAGACTCGGTGCCCGACCCCCTTCCACCCTCTCCCCCACCCAGCCCCACCCCACACCGGTTCCACTCTTTTCCTAGGTACAACGTGGACTCCAAAACCAACATCTCCAAACCGGTGAGCAAACGTTTACTCGAGGGTTGGCAGAGCGCAAAGGATGCACTTAGATGTGTTCAACGACTCTTGGAACTCCTCCTAACCCTCGACCCAGACCCCATCTTCTTCAGGCCCCCAACCCACCCTCCTGGTCCCTCTCCTCTTGCCTGAGTGTCCTGCCTGTGCCCCCTACTCACTGTTCCTCTTCCTTCTTGGCTGCCACTACTGGGAACTGCAGAAGGTGAGACTGAATGGGGCTGGGCAGAGGCTGGGGGTGGGGGTGGTGTTGTGGAGACCAAGCTTGGACTGATGACCCACTATGAGACAGAGATTGCTCGCAGACCCCTTCTTTCACACCCCCTCCAATAAAGCCCATGCAGGGTGGTGGCTCCTGCACCACTCACTTGCCTGGGAACTGCCCTGGTCCTCCTGTGCAGCAGCATCACTGGGGCTGAGCTGGGACTCAGCACTCAAGAGCTTCTGGTCTCGCTGACTCCTTGTCCTGCATAGGATTTCCTGGGACAAGCATTCCTGGCCCTGGGAGAGGTGATCGGAGGCCAGGGCAGCCGAGTAGAAAGAACCCTCACGTAAGTTGAATGGGAAGGGGTGTGGGAGTGGGGTGGGGGCTTCCAAATTCTCTGTCCCAAGGATGCCACTGACTGATAGCAGTGGAGGCTGGGGTTGCCCCTGGTCGGGAGCCTGCACTGGCTCCCATCACCCTCGTAGAAAAGTCCAATTTCCAGTGCTCTGCCCGAGTCACTCTCAGGCCTCATATGTCTTTTCCTTCTTTCTCTCTCTCTTCTCTCTTCTCTCTCTCTCCCCCCTCACTCTTTTTCTAAATCTGATTCAACCTTTAAGGTCCACTTCCAAGCCCCTCTCCACAGGGAAGCTCCCCCGGAATAAATCAAATCCTCAGGAATTTCCATTACATCCACTCACTAAATATGCATTAGCATGTTTTATATCCCACACCCTGCTCTAGGTACCAGGGCTTCATTCATTCCACAAACACTATGTATACATACCCTATGTCAGCCACTGGTAAAGGGGATTAGCTTGCAATGGTAAACAAAACAAAGGTTCTTGTCCTCAGGGGGCTGATACTCTGGTTGTGGGGGTACAAAATAGACATAAGTAAATTACATACTAGATTAGACAATATTAAGTGCTATGGGGAAAGAGACAAAGTAGAGCAGAATAAGGGGAACTGGCAATGCTGGGTGAGTGGGAGGTGCAGGATTCAACAGTGCAGTTGAGCAGGCCTCATGGACAGGTAACTGTGGAGCAACAACCTGAGGGAGGTGAGGGAGTCAATGGTACAGACATGTGGAGGAAGAATGTTCCAGGCAGAGGAGACTGCCAGTGCAAAAGCCTGGCACATTCAAAGTACAGCAAGGAGGCCAGTGTGACTGGAGCCAGGTGACTGGGAGGCAGGAGGAAGTGAGGTTGAAGAGCTAACAGGGCCTTGCAGCGGACTTCCACCTTTCCTCTGAAATGGGAGTCACTAGAGGGTTCTGAGCAGAGGAGTGACATGATATGGCTGCTTGCAAAAGATGGTGCTAGCTATGGAGTTAAGAAAAAACCTTGGGGACCAGGCGCGGTGGCTCATGCCTGTAATCCTAGCACTTTGGGAGGCCGAGGCAGGTGGATCATGAGGTCAGGAGATAGAGGCCATCCTGGCTAACACGGTGAAACCCTGTCTCTACTAAAAATACAAAAAATTAGCCAGGCGTGGTAGCGGGTGCCTGTAGTCCCAGCTGCTCGGGAGGCTGAGGAAGGAAAATGGCATGAACTCAGGAGGCAGGGCTTGCAGTGAGCCGAGATTGCACCAGCCTGGGCGACAGAGCGAGACTCCGTCTCGAAAAAAAATTAAAAAATAAAAAAATGAAAAAAAAAGAATAAA